AGGAGATTCGAGTTGGCCTGCTCAATCTGGATCATGCACTGAAAATACATAGTCAATGGTCAGAGTCCTCAGTTAATTGCCATAAATACAAAAACGTGAACTGTGGAAATAACAAACGCAATGCGATAAGCAATCGAGGACTAGAATACGATAAAAATAACAGTCTGTCAGCCCTCGCATAATATGTCCAAAACAACAATGTCCTAGTAACGTCAAGAAAGCCGGTGACCAACTACATTCAGATTACCTTGGCATGCTCAACGGCGCCTCCATAGAACGCTTGACTGCGCAGAAACTCGGAACCGTAATGCCAAGGGTTCCTGACGCGCCGTTTTTTTGACAGCCAACGGCTAGGCGAGTGACGTGGTGGTGGAAGTCGTGGTGACGGAAGTGGACGTGGTGACAGAAGTGGACGTGGTGGTGACGGGAGTGGGCGCGATGACGGGAGTGGTCGCGGTGACGGGAGTGGGCGTGGTGACTGGAATGGCACCACCTGTAGAAGGACAGAGTGCCGTGGGCATGGGTGAACTAACAGCATCCCATGCATTTGGGTAGGTGCAGCCCTGTACTTGCGTTGGCGCTAACCCCGTATCTCCCGAATCGAACCAGCCGTTCCCGACGTTGACAGATGGAGAAGGACTCGGAGAGAGGGTGGGAGGCGGAAGAGTTGGAACTGCACTAGTGGATGTGTAGGTGGGGAGGAGGGATTGGATTGCTCCAGCTGTAAGACCGTTGATAGGTGTTGGTGGATACTGGCCATAAGATGTGACCGAGGCCGCGACGATGGTACCAGCACCAGGACCTCCTGTCTGATAGGGTTGATAAACCCCATCGAACTGTGGCCCAGTTACACCCAACGCTGCGCAGGTGCCTATGGCAGTACGGGGATCAGTAGGGATCCATCCATACTGGAGACCCAACTGGTAAGACCACAGGGGAGACTGGACACTATTGGTCGTAGATGAGTTTCCGACCTACAAGAGTCACCAATGAGGCTCGCATTGACTAGCATAGATTCAAACCAACCTTCCAGGTCCAGAAAAACCAGTTCTGCAAAGCGTCCATACTAGCCAGCGTAAACTCGTTAAGACCGGCTATCATACTGCTATTCCATTGTGAAGCGTCTAAGAAGAGAGAACAAGTCGTTCCATAGCTGTCAGTATTCCCGACACCCGTGAGGTACAGTCCACAATCATTGTAGCCATCGCTAAATTCGCCGGCGATGGTTACACCGAATGCGGTCTGACTTTGGTAAAGTGAGAATGCTGTTATGCGGTGGGGGACATGCATACCTGGTATTAATGCCAGGACCCCACGCATTACACGCCTGCTGTGGCCAAATGCCTCCAGCGCTTAAGCCGGTACCAGTCGCGATGGGTGCCCAATCAGACTGAGAGTCGAATGCAAAGTAAGGATGGGTGTCAAGTATGATTCGATCGGAACCTTGTAGAAAGTCCGCCCAAGCTGCCGTCCCTAAGAATCCGTCATGAATGGCGATATAGGGTCCGTGCCCTTCTCCGTAACCGGTAATATTGCGGATCATGTCATGCGCAAGGAGGTAACTTAAATGACAAACTGGCGATCAGGACACACTAGAGCGCATGCAAGTATATCAAGACGTACAATGTTATGATTTGGTCTGTCCCAATGGTGGAGACCAGGGCCTCGTTAACAATGCTAAACACAGGGACAACATCGACCCACTCAGGCTGGGATATGAATTCAGTAATGATCCTTATATAATCAAGGGCACGCTGGGCGTTGGCAAGTCCCATGACTCCATTCAGAAAGTTGATAGAACCGGATTTGCCGGAGTGGTTATATCCTGCGTACCAATATTGAGTTTGCACCATATGAGTAACGATGCACACCCTGCCACGCACCGTTCTGAGATCCGGGGATGGTATGCAGATCGAGATTCACTCTAATCCCGTATTTCCTTGCCCATTGAAGGACACGCAGAATGTAGCTAACGTCACCGCAATCAGAATGATAAGAAAACGTTCATACAATGTTTCAGAGATGCAGAACTCACGGCCAACACACTTTCTCGAGGAAGGGCTCGAAGTCCCATTTCTCAACTGCCCAGAAAGGAATAGGCAAACGTATCCAATTCAGTCCAGCTCCAGCAATTTCCGCAATGTCCTGCTCGGTCTACGAGCGTTATTCGGGGTCAAAGAAGCCAATCGAAATGAACTTACAATAAAGGTATTGTAGTGGGTCTCTAATTGTTGGAGTCCGCCGCTAGCTGTATCCGCCGCCATAAGCGTGCTCAGGGTCCACTCGTCAACTGAACCCGGATACTTCTGGTAAAGGGCAGGTGTGATGAAGGGTTCTAAGACAAAAAGTCCGCCAAGATTGACACTGTACATTATCCGTGTTCAACATGTGCCTCAGACACGTGACCAAATGACACTCACCCATAAACCTTGTCTACTCCCCAAGTCCAGCTAGAGTTGAGCGGAGGGGTCCAGGAGTTAGGATAAGCGCCATTGTTGAAAGGGTCGTTTGGGTTGTCCACCCCTGCAAAGAATCAGTAGGGTCAAAATGTTTGATCAGGAAAAGTAGATGATAACGTTAGGCAGCCCTCTGACATTTACGTTAGCAGAACATGGACCCTTTAACTATACCCGAGAAATAGTTCTCAGATCTACTGATGGCACTGAGAAGGGCACACCGCAAGTTTACTGCCAGCGACTCATCCGGAACCACAGCTGCAAGCCATAAATGAATTATAGAACTTACAGATGCCTCCAAAGGGATTCAGGTAAGTGAATTTTGTCCCATCAGCTGTTGTGATAACGGAGCCGTTCCCCCCGGTCGTAGTTGTTCCAGGCGGAGGGGGATTGCCGTTGCCGTCACCTGACCCACCAGCAGAAGTTCCAACGGTACTGTTATTGTGATGTTTGATAACAACAAAATATACTGGGAGAATGATAGCGAGGACGACAATAGTAACGGCGGCGAAAGCGATGAGCCAGAATAGAGGGCGCTTAAGGATAGATCGTCTTCTCAACGCAGGTTCTTCTCTTGATTCTTGGGTATAAGCTATGGCATCGCGTTTTTCGTTCTCTGGCACCAATGGAGAGACGTTATCTGGTGTATCAGCGTACGAATCACGCGGGCTGATGGCAGTCTCTGAGCTTGGCGACAGATAAGAGGCTCTAGGAGGTTCTAGGGATTGACTAAGGTCCAAAGGAGTGTTGAGCGCCGCCACTGAATGGATCTGCAAGACTGTCGGGCCTTGAAGACGACATTGTAGGTGGATAGTAGCAGAGAACGAGAAAGAGACAGGTCTGGACGTCCAAGACTTCAAGCGATGTCCCACGCAGGGGCGCATCATGGCCGAAAACTACAGTACTCGTGACAGGGAAGCCACGTTAGGATTGTTTATAGACAGGACTAGCTAGGCGTGGCCACTGGCTGCTGATGATCTGATCCGTTTCCGGCGCGGTGAGGCATGTGGTTAGGGCTAGTCGGTCGCTGCGAGCGGTGCGCTTTTCTATCGAAAGGAATTCATTCAAGTTCGTGGATACGAAAAACATATCGCACGTATAATCTGACAAGATGTTTCAAAATTCACAGGTCATTGTCACATTTTCTCACCAGTTCCGACGTCGGTTCAGCGTGTCACGTGGGTGAGTGCCTGTGCCAGGAATGGGGGTGTACGCGCGCTGCGCGCATGGTCCGTGGGCGGTTTGTACAAAGTTGATACGCACCGGCATACTGGGGTAGAAGGTGAGGCAAAACGCTGTTGTCAGCACAGCGCAACGCTTAGCGATGACTTCAGAAATTCTAGAAATGGGAGATAAAATCTCTTCTGGAATATTACGTAATTACAGATGGTAGGCATATCGCCAGACTCCTGCAGTCAGACCATATAATGGATGCATAGAGAGTCGCAGACTATTAAAAATCACTTGATGGATTACCTCGATCCGACGAAGTCGGAGATGATTCTGGGTTCGCCGAATAATATTGTAGAGTTTGGTACAAACAAGCTCTATTGATATTATGACTTTTCATGAAAGTCTTCTCGCGAACATCAGCAAATGAAAACCCGTCGAAGCTTTAGATAATTTGAGCAGCTCTTCTAGGCTTGGTCGAGGGCCTGGGGCAAAAGATGCGTACAAGTTCCGATACCAGCAATAAACACACTTACGTCTACACCGCAACTATGTTGGCAAAGCATGAGTAATTAACTGTGGCCGAATTTCATGACAATGAGCTCGCAGTGGTGATATATTTTCGGTTGTACTCCGGCAACAGGCCATCACAACAAGCCGGAAAGAAGAGAAGAAAAACCTCTGCTAGATCCGTGATTTGAATTTTACCGCATGTACGGATATGATCAGCTGTAGAGGAGCTGCACATATGAGGCTGAGCGCTGAGCTTCTGAGTCCAGGCTGAGAAGCGGTAGACCAATTAATCTCTTCCGATGTCATTGTGGGCGCAAGGTACCTACTACAATGTAGGATGATCATCTCCTGACCCTGTTCTATCTACTCGTTTAAACGCCTCATGTTCTCGTATAGACAAACCTACACGAACCTGTGGCCGATTGGCACTTGCCTATTCCTATTTTCTTTTTCTTTTTCTTATTATAAGTTGGTCGGGATAACGAGAATTTGTTTGTCCTTGTGACTTTGATCAAAGTTAAACCCAAGTTGGGGAAATGAAAGGAACTTGCCGAGTACGGGGAGTTTGCATCGCCGGAAGATCAAGGTGATCTGATGCTTGTCAGCGTGAGTGGCAACCATGTTTCTGGGAAGGCGCTACCCACTCAAATATCCCTAGTAATACTAGTGGCTTCTCGCGCTTACTATCGAAATTTAATTATCGGGCATGGCAGTGAGTTTTGGTGTCTTTTTACGCATGGATGACACACGCACAATACAGTGTTGCTCGGTAAATGGCATCTGTTCTTGGTTCAATAATGCTCCGATATTGGGGGCACTAGTTTCCTGTGCGGCACTGCCCAAAGTTTATCCGGATGTCACAAACCAATACTAATACCCACCACGAAATCATGCGCTTGGTAGCTTCAAAAGGAGCAAGATCTATGATCATCTATCCCGGGGTGCACCCGACCAAAGCTGTAATTGTAATTATACCACTGTGCCGTCCGGGAAACTTTACACCCATGTTTGCCGTATGGCCCACCCCCGCCACCCCCTTATATTAACCCGCCTCTCTTTAATGTGTCCTAGTACTTTGACGCACGATCACATCACCCTCAATGTTGCATTACCATGCACCCATCACCCATGCCTCGCCCGATGGCTACCCAGTCCACGCTCATACCGCACATTCTGATCGCTCCTCATCGCCATCCACTGGCAGCACCACGAGTTCGTCATGTGCCTCCGGTTCTCCACGGCTAATGTCGCCGATTCAAAGTACGGAAAATATTTTTCGGACAATCTTGAATGTCAGGAAAGGTTGGAAGACTCTGAAGGGCAATACCGAGCCTGTATGGCCACCTTATCTCGAAGCCACGATGCTGGAAGGTGCGGATCACATATGCTGATCACAGCTTTAGCTCACATGATTCCTCCAGGTCTTCATCAATATAAACCCGTCGACTCGCGGGAAACTCAAATTTTAGGACGATTCCCTATGCGCAATCGCTTCATCTCGGAGTACATTTACCACAAAACGGGCAAGTACAGATCATCCAAACAAATAGGCAGTCGACTACAGCAATTTAGGGACACATCCGAGGGGCGGGAATGTGAGTATCCGTCCCGTACGAGCTGTTTGTGCGTTCATTGAGACGGCATCATTAATTATTCTTCTATTTTGGTTATTTTTGGCAGTGATCGATTCCCTCGCCCGATCTTATCTCAGTACGCGGAGTGAAGTCGGCTCGCCACGGAGGTTTTCTCCTCATAACCATGTTTTTGAGGGTGAATCCATGCCTCCGCTCGACTATATATCTGTCGACTCTTCGGGAAACGAAACCTCATCTGCCTCCTCATCTTACGGCTCCTCCGCAGAATACATTGACACTGCCATGCCATCCTCTAGACGAAACAACCTTCCTGACAACCGTACTCCAGTGTACATTGACATCTTGCCAGAGGCTAGCTCATTCTCGAGCTCATCCTCCTCACGTTCACGTGTACCATCTTCTTCGTACAGGTCCTTTCATGGTGCAGCTGCATCCCAACCCTCCCCAAATGCACCACGTTGCATGAGGGACATCGACCCTACCGTAACCTTCGTCTCACCTTCTACTGTCATTGGCAAGTCATCCTATATAGTGTTATTGGATGGCGCACCCATACACAGCGAGGACACGAAACTCGAATGTGTCGGACCATATTTCGCTGGTGCTTCCGGTGACGGGCCGTTGCTCTACAGCACGGCTCTGGTTCCCAAGTATTGGGATACCTTGTGCAAGTCTCCAGGTACGTCATACCCGAACTTAACATGAAACAGGGATTTAATTTCTCGCCCGAAGACCCCACCGTATACACCATTATTCAGGATGTGTACCGTTCTCCTGACTCAGCAACTTCCTCAAGGAACTCGGGTCGCCCACGCCCTGTCCTCATATTTTCTGCTATATACCACTTCCGATACCCGGCATCTACACGCGCACCCCCACCTTCCATCCCACCGCATTTGTCTTATCAACCCAATTCTGCATCTTTATCTCACAACACTCATCCTTATCCCAACATGACCAACCCCATCCGCCCGCCCGCATTCCAAAACTCCATGTCTCCGAGCTTCTCGGACCCAGGGATGTTCCAATCATATGACTACAGCACGCAATACCGGCTGGATGAGCCATTCAGACTGGACGTCAACATGGATAACTTTTCCCTCGATGATTTCGTGGTCAACATTGACTCGCCTGACGCGGCATCAAATGACATGATGGTTCAGTCGTCATCATCTTCAAGCTTCCCGAAGGACATCCGGAATTATGTGAGCACACTTACCCAATTAGGATGTCCGCTACTCACATTTTTTTCCATCAGATCATGTAAAACTATTGTACATATAATCGTAATATCGGCACCTACTATATGCTCGATATTTATCATAATGGGCCCTCTGATGGGCCCAGATGCTTCCAGACTGGACTCTCGTTCGTGTAGCTTCGCATTCACTCGACTGAGATTAAAGGACGCGATACTTATCTGCGTTTCGTTGGCTTCTACGGGCAATTCATGCCGCGCTTCTTGTGATGCTAGTCATCTGATGTGAAGTAGGTCCGTTATTATGACAGATATGTATGACTACGCCGACGCAGGGATCTTCAAATTCAATTACTCGAAGCTCCCTCGTTGCTCTTCTGATTGATATTGCAATCTGTCGGGTGCATTGCACGTACATTGCAACCCCATTTAATCACTTCATGGAAAAGTTTACCCAAGAAAGATGACAACCATCTGATGATGACCGATAGCCCATGATTCTAGACTAGTGCATATCTGCGAGGAGCAAGGCAGATGTGCTCGGCGGAAAACAAAGCTACAACGAAGCACCCTGACCCGCCAATTTCGAGAACGTCTAGAAATGCGAATAAAATTCTGAGAGGATCGATCAAATGAACTTTGAGCTCCACAGCGCTTCTCCCTGTCTCGCTTCATCACTCCCTGCGCCATGGATCTTTGTGTTTACTGGAATTATCGAAGAAGTGGAGTGATGGGCGTAAACAAACCGTCTTTATTGAATATACTAGAACTCAAACTCACCGCTCTTTAACAGCGAGATTATTTGTATTCTCGCCGCAAACTCTCTTGTCATCAGGGTGACGTCGGTCAACTGATTGATACCCCTGGTGATTCCTCGTCCAACTTGGTCCTTCCGAGGACCGCCTTTTGCTTCGGTAGACGCGCTGCTTATCTTGCCGTGTGCATCACTGAGAGCATCAACCCACGTGCGCATGGCCATAGCTCCGGCCATTCCGTCCCACTTGCTCATCTCGAGGATCATGTTCGTGATGCCAGCGACAATAACTGCCACTTCATGCTCTATGTTTCGTGCTGCATCTAATCCCACTTTCATATCAGGGAAGTGCTCGTGGATTCTGGCGATTATAGGCTGATAGGCGACGCCATCACCGGCTTGTCTACCCACAGTACCCCCAATGAGCCAGGGCTTTGCCTGATCAACGGCACTATAGATATCTGCACGAAGTGATGGGGACATGGACTTTTTGGCATCTCCCTTGGCCCCGCCAGCGTTTGCTGCTGCTGCTGCGAATGTGCTAGAAAGGCTGCTGAACATGATAAAGTTACGATGTTGGTTGATACGCTGCGAATGTTCTGCTATTCTTGTGATAGCCTTTGTTACAGGACTTGCGGGGGACTGATTGAAAGGCGTGCGTATACTATCTCGCGCCTGATGCCGAGGGAAATTCAAGTATGTAAACGAAGATGCTGTAGGCCTGGACACATGGGAAACACGAGGTGACGGAGGACCGAAGTAAGAGTCCCATGATGGCGATCAAAAGAGGAAGGCGGATGATTAAATATTGCAGACGTCCATTTTTGGACATTTCTTTCAAGGGACGAGTGTGCGATTGGATGCGCGGTCTACTTGAAAAGTCCATCCTCATTCCTGTATGATCTCTTGACGTTAAATGTTAATTGTGATCAGGGGCACCTAAGCTTGGAAAATGAAATGACTGCGGACGCATCCCTGAGCTGCGTGCCAAGATAAGGGTGTTATGACGGCGCACTTACGGTGGACACGGCTATGAGAAGTAGCCCAAACGTGCATCCTCGTGTATCGATAATGATTTGTATGTCTGGAAATCGATGTCATCAGTTACCGTGGTTATATATTTGTTTACGCACGTTGATGGGGTCACCGGTATCATTGACAGTCATGAGTTGTTAATGGTTGGACGTAATTTGCGGAGAAACAACCCATGATGGCATCACGATGACTTGCGGTGATCCATATAGAGCACGTCGTAATGGGTCGACAGGCCTATGTCTGGATGGGCTTCTGCAAGTTAGGTAAAGCTCAATGCCATGCCAAAGGTCGTTAACAATACTAAGTACTTGCCAAAGTTACGTTCCTGCCCGACGCTGAATTAGGAGGCCAGATATAGGTACATGTAGTGCGATAGTGCTTGGTGATGAGCGCTGAGCTCTGAGCCTGCGGGAATATTGCCTCTGGCACTTTGCTTCTTCTTGATTCTCATCGAAGCAGGCGCCTGCAACTTGCAAGTCGTTCAAGACAAATCAAGTTGGCTGCCAAGAAATATTCGCGGAGTTCAAACTCGCGACATTCCACAAATAAATGGCAACAAACGCGTCGCGAATTCACATGTAATCACGTTACCGCGCGCACAGTACGAAGGACTCACCGTGTTCTGAAATTTCATATCTTTCTAATCTGTCATGCCCCAAGCGATACCAAACATTCCTGACGAAGATGCTTTCATGAAGAACTTGCTTTCAGGTCTTGACTCAACATGCCAACCAGAACGCCCTACCGAAGCTCAAACGAACAGCTTCTTGCTCTTCCATTGCTCCACCGACGCCTTCTAAACATACGGCCAGCCGTCTTGGCTCTCACAGCAATAATGTCGACATTTCTATGCTTCTCGATGGCGCAGAACATTGGGACTGGAATGATATGGAAGCAGACTTTCTTACACCAAAGAAATCTAACAGTGGGAAGACGCCAATGAAGGTGAGTTTTTACTCGAATGTACGCATTGTTCTGACTCGGTAGAAGAAAACGTCAGGTCACGGGCCACATTCTATCAAGCGTTCTCCTGTTGCAAAGAGGTCTCTGTCTGCCACTGCTCTGGATGTAAACGCGCTTCTTGAAGGTGCTGAAAGTTGGGATTGGGCAGACATGGAGGATGACTTTATCACTCCGAAGAAGCCTAAGGTGAAGTCCGGGGTGAGTTTAGCATTCTACCGACCACAGTACTCCTATCGAAGCTTCACAGACGGTAGCAATGCCTGCAAAGCTGCACGCCAAAGAGACGTGCACTCGATGTGTGGTTGATGACGTTCGAGTTGACGAGTCGGCAAAGATTCAAAAGGTTTGGAGACACAAAGCTGCATGTATTACACTATGTCATGAGAGTGCATTACAGATTCTTTCTGTGCGTGTCCAGTCAAGTAGAGATTCCCGAACAGTCATTCTCTGCGACGACTGGGTAGACGCAGATATTCGCAAAGGTAAACTACCCTTATATCCTTTGTTTCTATACTAACGTGGCCCAGGAAATATCATCAACGTCATTGGCGACTTTGATTCCTTTGGAATCATTAAGATAACGTCTAAAATCAATTTTCTGATTAACCATCCAGACATCTTAATCACAGCTACTGCGCTTTCTAACGCGCCACAGTGCAGGCGAAAACCGCTTCTCTCCGCGCTCGTCCGTTCGAGCTTAGATATCACCCCAGCGCTTATATGGGGTAACATGGTTCACGAGGTTATGCAAATATGCATGGCTGAACAACGATGGGACGACCGTTTTATTGAAGAACACACTAAGGAGATCATTAATAAGAACCTTGCGGAGCTTGTCAAGATCAACGTGAGCGTCGACGAGGCAAAACGTGAAGTCAAGGCCCGTTCAAGAGGTCTTCGAATGTTCTCTGAACGCTACATTGCTGAGACGCCAAAGGTGATCGTTGCTAGTAACTGCGCATACTCGACCACTGAAATTGATGTTATAGGCTGACGCAGTTCTCACCAACACCCGCGCGGCTGCGAATCAAAGCTCCCTTCTTGCTATATCCCAACTACACGATGTGGAAGAAGATATTTGGTCTCCAACCTATGGACTTAAAGGCAAGCTCGATGCTACCGTCCAGGCGGTCATTGCTGAGAGCACGATCGACAAGCGTGTTAAGAGTGGATCTTTGCTGAGCACACACACGATGCCATTTGAGATTAAGACTGGTAAAACTGTAGCAGGGATGGAGCATCGCGCTCAGACCATGCTTTACACTCTCCTGATAGCAGAACGGTACGGTGTCGATGTTCCGAGTGGGCTACTGTACTACACCCAGAGCGAGGAGGTCGTCCGTGTCCCGCAAAGCCGCAACGAGCTTCGAGCACTGATAGGCGCAAGGAACGAAATGGCATCATATATGATGCGCAGGAATACACATGGTAAGGAAAAGGACCTCGAAGAGCCTTTTCTTCCTCCTACGATTGACGACGAAAGAATGTGCAAGAAGTGCTATGCGCTAGATACTTGTATGCTATTTCGCAAGGTTTGATTTTCGTCTTGCTCCATGGATCCTACTAAGGTCGTGGCTACAGGCTGTGGAGAACGTAGTTGATACGTCTTCACCGATTGCAGATGTGTACGACCTCAAAACCTCGCATTTGAAACCCTCCCATCTTGCGTTTTTTAAACAATGGGAGGAGCTCATTTCGCTCGAGGAACAGGACGCTACTCGGTTCAGAAAAGAGCTATGGTGCATGACCGCTCAAGAACGCGAGGACAAAGGCAGATGTTTCAACTCGATGGTCATAGACGCATCTTTCCAGCCGGGAAAGGTTCCCAACAATGGCAAGATTCACCAGTACACTTATTGCCTCGTTCGAGCTTCTGCTGTTCATGGCGCTTCGTTCTTGAATGGTTACATGAGTCGTGGAGATGCTATCACAATTTCCATTGAACCTGATCTTCTTGCTCTTGCACGAGGGTTCATTTTGGAGCTCACGCCAGAAACCGTGGTCGTGGGTGTAGATCACGAGTTGAATGTGGACAAAATACAAGCCAGATTGGAGACGCTTCGAGGAGCGAAGACAGCTGTACTCTTCCGAGTTGACAAGGACGAGATGTCAGGCGGCATGGCACGGATTAGGGATAATTTAGCCCAACTATTCTATGTGGAGGGGGATGTCAGGCGTCTAGAGCTTGTCGTGGACCTACGACGCCCTTTATTCGACGACGAGGAGACCATCGCTGACGACCTGCAACATATTCCGGAGTATGTCCGCACAAGCTCAGGTATGAACCCTGGTCAACTTGCTGCGATGAAACGGGCCTTGAGCGCACGCGATTACGCGCTCATCCTCGGTATGCCTGGTACGGGCAAGACAACCATAATTGCTGCGCTAATCCGGACTATCGTGGCCATGGGGAAGACCGTCCTTTTGACGTCATACACTCACTCGGCTGTGGACACGATATTGCTTAAGCTACAGGATGCAGACTTCGGTATATTAAGACTTGGCAATGTAGATAAGGTATGTCTCAGCGAAACTACTTCATAGACTGGCTCATACTTAATGTTTAGGTGCATCCTGGCGCTCGGAGATTTACGCTTGCTGAGCGTAGGTTGCCTACAACGGTCGAGGAATTAGAGAACCAGATCATTGAACCACCAGTTGTTGCTACCACATGCTTGACAATTGATCAGTACGTTTGTTAGTTGATGTCTTTGCTTGTGCTCATTTTTCATCACCTACCAGTGCCCTCTTTTCTCGCAGGACGTTCGATTTTTGCATCGTCGACGAAGCCTCTCAGATCACCCTGCCCACATGTCTGGGTCCCCTTCGGTTTGCCGAGAAATTCATTTTGGTTGGAGATCATTTTCAGCTTCCCCCACTAGTGAGTTTCTTTTGTCGTATATCATGGTCTCTCCTTTATGTATATCCAGGTTCGCAATCCTGCTGCACGAAAAGGTGGTTTGGAAACGTCTCTGTTCCGTCGTCTCTCTGAAGCGCACCCACACGCGGTGATCGATCTCACATATCAATATCGCATGAACGAGGACATTATGGAGTTGTCGAACAAGCTCATATACGGAGATCGTCTGCGATGTGGATCAGAGGAAGTGGCCAAGAGCACGCTCGTTCTTCCTAAAGGGTGTATGACTGGTACACTGGATCTGGGAGCATGCCTGTGCGAGGATTCTTGCTGGTTGCGGCATCTATTATCAGAAAGGTCGGTTCGTACCATGTGGTGCGGCAAGTCGACTTATCATATTTCCCACTAGCTCTAAAGTTGTATTTGTTGACACAGACCGCTTACCTGCGCTTGATTCGAGAGTTGGGGACCTCGTCCAAAATGATGTCGAGGCCAAGCTTGTGTACCAGATTACTGAAGCGTTCTTAAGATCGGGAGTCCAGGAGGACCAGATTGGAATTATGTCTCTTTATCGTCAGCAGATAAAGCTTCTGTCACACATTCTTCAAGACAGGAAGGATATAGAGATCCTCACAGCCGACAGAAGTCAAGGACGCGATAAGGACTGTATTATTATCTCCATGGTCCGATCTAACGACCAGGGGCAGGTATGTTCTATCGGTTGCAGCTATACAATTGCAGCCCGCACTAACGCTCCTTGCACAGATTGGAGACTTGCTCAAGGACTGGCGGCGAGTCAACGTATCGTTCACACGTGCGCGGTCAAAGTTGATCATTATTGGTTCTCGAAAGACTTTGAACTCGACTGAGCTTTTGTCGGTGTTCTTGACGCTTATGGACGAGCGGGGCTGGATGTTGACGCTGCCTGCCAATGCGGATGTCAAGCACCCGGCGTTACAGAGCGAACGGTGCGGTATTCGCAGTCCTGCGAAGCGAAGCAAGGAGAATGAATCAGTGGCTAGTGTCAATGAACCACTCTCGAAGAAATTGAAAACTCCGAAAGTTGAAGAGGGGATCCTCAAGGGCCGGCCCATCTTGCAGGATGTTGTCAATGGCGGTAGGTGATCATGTCTTGAGCACATATCGTTCCATACCTTATGCCGTATATATGTATTGTCTTGTTATTCACGCCTGCATGGGACATTTATCCTACATCCGACCTGGGTATATACCATATAGAATCATAGCTTGAATTTGGCCAACATTGCAGTATTTGCAGAGTCCGGTAGAATAAAGCACCAAATTAATGAGAGACCTACTTACTAGCCTAAGTACTGCTCTCCAGCGACGAATCATTTTCAAATTTCACCCCGCAATTATTTGTTTATGTAATTCTGTCCAACCCTGAGTCAAGAAAAGAAAAGTATCTCACGCCAAAATTCAAAAAATGACCGGTCCAACCGACTCCAACGGTGTCAGTCTAAACTGGACCGAATTGATAGCAAAGGAGGCCCACTTCAATAAGGCGTCGTTAACGAAACGTTGATAAATACATATAGGCATCCGAGCACGCAGTTGGCCTTTCACGGAAGCTTTGAAATTCGAAGCAGATAAGAGTGAGAGGTTAACTGGTTGCGGCCGCAAGGCGCACGGAACTCGTCGAGCCTGGCCTGTCCAAAATGAGCTAGAACTGACTCACTGCTATGCCACAATGCAAACATTGCCAAATAGAGCCACGCAACTGTTTAAGTAGGTGGTCGTCATCCTCACAACTGTTCTCATTCCGCCCGTCATGTCTTATCGTCTGGCAACTTGGTCATTACTAGCGGCGGCGTTGGCCCCAGCGGTGCTCGCAACCCCACTTTCTACCAATCCTTACAACATTCCCAGTCGGCCGCAACTCAAGGTTGCGCCGTTAATTGCCTCTGACCATCCATATGGAACCGTTAACAACTCGTATATCGTCGTTCTTCGTGATGACCTTCCTCAGGCTGTCGTACAGAACCACTACAACTTCCTCCAGATGGCTCATGCCTCTGACTCGCTCCTCGGCGACGGGCTTGCGGAGGGCGTCCGTCACTTTTACGACGGACACATCAAGGGTTACGGTGGAGAGTTCACTGAGAACGTCATCGAACAGGTACGGCGGATGCCTGAGGTCTCCTTCGTAGAGAAGGACCAAATCGTCCATACCATGGATATCAATACCCAGAAGGGCTCGCCTTGGGTAAGTTCTTCTGCTGAATGCCATAACTTTCAGTGAAATTGACTCCACATGTAAGGGTCTGGCCCGTATCAGCCACCGTAACAAACTCGGCTTCAGCACTTTCACGAAGTATCTCTATGACTCGGAAGGTGGTGACGGTGTCGACGTCTATGTTGTTGATACCGGTATCAATGTCGCTCATTCTGAATTCGAGGGTCGTGCTTCCTGGGGCAAGACCATTCCGACCAATGATGTCGATGAAGACGGCAATGGCCATGGTACGCATTGCGCTGGAACCATTGCTTCCCGCAAGTATGGTGTCGCTAAGAAGGCAAACGTCATTGCTGTCAAGGTGCTGGGTTCCAACGGCAGTGGCACTATGAGCGATGTTGTCGCGGGAGTTGCATGGGCAGCTCAGTCAGCTGCAAAGAAGTTCGCAGCTGCTCGCGCTGAGTTTGCCGCCACTGGTAAGACCAAGCACAAAGGTTCGGTCGCAAACATGAGTCTTGGTGGCGGAAAGTCTCCCTCTCTTGACCTTGCTGTCAACCGCGCTGTTGACGCTGGCCTTCATTTCGCCGTTGCTGCCGGTATATTCCGCGAGTTAGTTGTTAAGATCATATCTGACCATAGTATCAGGTAACGACAACAAGGACGCTTGCAAGTACTCACCCGCAGCAGCTGAGAATGCGGTCACAGTCGGTGCCTCTACGCTTGGCGATGAGCGCGCATACTTCTCCAACCACGGCGAGTGTGTAGATATCTTCGCTCCTGGTATGTGTCTATCTATTGAGTCATTGGCTCCTTATGAACACTTTGCACAGGTCTTAACATCCTATCCACGTACATTGGTAGCAGAGATGCTATTGCTACCCTCTCTGGTACCTCGATGGCTTCTCCCCATACTGCTGGCCTGCTTGCATACCTTTTGTCGATTTACCCATCTGCCACCTTCGACCCTTCATTGAGCTCGATGTTACCTCCTGCGCTCAACCTCGAGCACCCTTATTCCTCATTCTACTCTCTATGCCATGCCGCTCTCCCGCGCTGGATGACCGGGTTCATGCCATCACCGCAGTTGTTTATCAACGCGCCCATCCCTGGTGGTCCAGTCTTGATCTCCCCTTTGGAGCTCAAGACAGCTCTTCGCAAGCTCGCATCATCGAACATGCTCACTGATCTGCCCCCGAAGACAGTGAACTTGCTCATCTTCAACAATGCTACCGCTTAAGCATGATTGATAGGATATAACCAGCGCGTAATTCGCTCTCATATTGCATGATTGGTGCAGCCTTACTTGTAGTTGCAGTTGTATTATATATCTAAATCATCATTCATTTATCATGGACGAGCATTTAGAGTTGGAGATCTGTTGAATGATTTTGCGTGTTGGCTCCGGTAAATAATAATATCGGTGAGTGGGTACTTATAATGACGGATCAGCATTGCATATTATGGCCGACCTGCGCTCTCGCAAAGCGAATATGACTTGTTTGGCATTCATTTGAATGTACGTTGAGTGGTTGCCCGAACACTTTCCGCGTTCCAAGTTGAATAATTCGCAGTGTCATCTGGTGATTCCTGAACACGTATTCATACAAAGCTTTATATATAAAGTACAAGGACGCGACACGAATAATTATCGATATCACTTGGTGGTAAGAACTGCGTCCATACAGATCCTAAGGCCTGAATTTCTGTGACTCTGCGATTGCCTCGATCTCTGGTTTGAGACTCGCCCAAAGGCTATCGACACTGTGTACTGGCTTCCACCCAATCAATTTGGATCGATCTGCCCGAGCACGGGAGTTCGATCCAAGACTCCGTGCGCCCTATGAATTGTCGGTTCATCAACAATCCATAGACAAGGAAGACCGAAGACCTACCCTGAAATACTTCTGCAACTCATCCTTTGTGAAGACCGTAGGCTCAGGACTTTTGCCCAGCTTTACCTCAAACAACAACTCCGCGATGACTTCAGAGATCCTGCCCACACGATGCTCTCCATTTTCGCCAAAATAGAAACCCTCGCGGCCATGGCCTGCTTCACCTGGCCCTCTGATGGCGGCATCGAAAATGGAGATGTACAAACTCGCTATGTCACTGATGTGGACATTAGGCCACAGATTCAACCCTTTTCCGACGACTCCACCCTGTTTTCTGTCAATGCTGGCTTTGATGAGATTAGGGATTTGTTTAGAGTATGGATTCTGAATGCCGAGTTTAACCAATGACGTATTCGCAATTCCATAAATTGTCGAAGGCAAAACGATATATGTCCGCACGTAACCTGTATCGAACATTCGTTTGTAAAACATAAGCAAGTAAGGTGAGAATCGATATTACCTTTGTCATCAGCAGCGACGACTTCGATGTCGACTTCACGATGAGGTTGCGTCTTGGGTAGTGTCTCGATCAATGGGATGTCAAGATCGGAATAGACTTTATCAGTGGCATAATCTCCTGCGGCATTGTCTGTGAGAACACCGGTTCCAGACTGATGAAGCTTAACACGCATTGCAGGTGAAGGGCAAGGAAAATACACACGGTATGGATGAGAATAGGGACCTTGCTAGTTTCGTCATATCTCTTTTTCAATCCTAACAGGATTGCTTTGGCTGCCTGAAGGTCATCGGAGTCAGCCTACATACTAGGGGTAATTAGCTATATGTTCAACTCAGCAGTCTAGACTCGAAACGGACGCAAGCAAAGACTACATCAGAGTTCCTGGCATATTCTGTCAGCTTTTCAAGATCTTGGTTCGAGCCGACGACAGCTACGACTCCAAGGCTGTTGAGCGGCACGACCTTTTCGGGGGAGCGAGTGAGAACAGTGATCTGAAATGATTTCGCCCTAGGGTGGGACAACAATGCGGACAAAACAGATCCGCCAATGTAACCTCCAGTTGACGATCAGCGTCGATTCAAGTTATGGTCGAGGAGGACTCACCAGTAACACCTGTTATGAAAATATGCGTCTTCTCGGATGTGGACATGACGGTTGAGCCCTAGGTTGGTGAGTTGGATCAGACCCACTTTCCTGATATTTATAGGTCGTGAACCGTATGATATGGCGTCATGATTACACCATGAAGACTTAGTCACCCCAGGATCCTAGCCGCCAAGGCCTGCACGCTGAGGCAGCAGGCTAGTGTCATGGTAGGCTTACTACTAGTACCTGGGCTCTTTGCGTGTATAGCTCGCGCAGTGCTCCACATTTCTGCGTGGTAATTGACAGCTTGGTGCAGCATCCCACACCATGCCAGTGAGTGCTTGAACCAGACATTTATTTAGCCATGCCTGCGTTGTTGTGAGAGCCTATATCGGCCTATGGAAGTTAGCCAGCACTTTCAACACCGTCATGCTGTCACATACATGATAAATCACTGTCACATCAAAACCTTACTTTCCAGTTCGAAGTTCAACCAACTACTTCATGTAGGTCCGACAAGAAGCTCCCAGAGTCCAAAAGCTTTTCCGACAATCCCCACCTTGTTCCATTGATCGGCTGGTGTAGTGTTACGGTTGCAGTGCAGTGCACCTCCAAAAAACCTGAGTGCTCAGCTCAGCGGGACTAAGATTCAAGATCTGGGCGCAAGTTGGTGCAAGATAGCAATCAAATTTTTGCAAAACTGTCAGCTGTACGAGTGTCAAAGGCGGTTTGGGTTTTTACGTATATAACACAGCCTTCCAACAATCCAAGTTAACGTTGATCGATCTCAAGGGCAACCAAATACAGGTTATGTATTAAACGAATCCTCGCTCAGCAATGGAACACCCTATTCGTATCTCATGTTAGGTCAATGTCCGATTCACCCAGGGAAACAAAGTTGATTTTACCTCCAGGTCCCTTTGCGTCTTGCAGAGCTGTGGGTCCATTGCGTGACCTCGATGCACAACCAAATTCAAGTCTGAGATATATACGAGACGACAGCAATACGACGTAGAACTACACACCAAGATGAACAAACACCATCCTCCGCTTGAGCGGTACTTTCGTCTTCACCGCGTGCGTAGCACGGTTGGGTGCCCAGGCTGCCCTCGTACAGTCCATGACACAACCTTTCTCGAGTCAAATCTCCAAACATATGATTATAAAAAGCTTCGACGTGTTTCTCAACAGCATCATCGACCTCCCACAGCGTGCCAACGACGTTCTTGAACCCTGAAAACTGAATACCAGCTACTAGGGAAGACTTGGTCACCCCAGAATCCTAGCCGCTAAGGCCTGCACGCTGAGGCAAGGCTTCCTACTAGTACCTGGGCTCTTTTCACGTATAGCTCGTCCAGTGCTCCACCTGCGCGGTAATTGCCAGCTTGGTACAGCATCCCACACCCTACCAGTGGGGCTTGAACCAGACATTGACTCACAACCACGCGGGCATGGCTAATCAACTTTGTATTCAGCCATGCCTGTGTTGAGAGATATCGGCCTATGGAAGTTGGCCAGCACAGTGTGACAGGCACGAGCTCTTCGAGTCAGCGTCCCCGATCAGATCAATCAACCTTTCGAACATCCTTTGTTGGTCCTAACCGTAGTGGCAAACAACGTCTGCAAGTCCGGCTCCCAGTCAAAACACCATACGCCCAGTCGCATCATCAATATTGTCAAGTAAGGAGAAAGAAGAAGCAGCGCCCCTTCAACGGCCACCATCTCCCCCCTCTTCATACAACATTCGCTGCTCGCGGTCTACATGTGGGTGTAGAGGACTTGCATATCTCAAAGAACCTCGCATTGTTAATGCGCTCCATTGAATCAGGCACAAAGCTTTCCTGCGCATAAACCGCGTGATCTACGTATACCCTCGCCTCAAGCTATAACTCATGTAGCATGGAGTTGCGATGGGAAGCGTTTAGCTGGCATTGGTATCGGCAAAATTACTCAGATCTAGACTCTAGAAACTAACGTACGTACCATATATTGTATCTCATCAGGAGCCACACTCCGTACCCCAATCATAGATGGAATCAAGAGCTGCAACCCACTTCTCTGGTGGTGACTCCGATGACGTTGACTATATATCATGGAATCCCACTCATCCAGAGTTATTTTGCACGTCTAGTCAGAAGGACAGAAGGATTGTATTTGGGATGCACGACGCAAGTTTTATATGCCTTGCGCGCATTGTGAATAACTCTTACAGAACTCAAGAAAGTCGGTACACGCAGCAAATGGTTCTAAAAATATCACCCGTGCAGACAAATTATTCTCCAGACGGCCGGACTTTGATATTTACTTCGGCCGGGCTCCAGCTATTTTTCTTAACACACAGGAAAGATGGTGATGCAACAAAGGCACAGTAGCATCTCTCAGATAAGGACGGGGTTTGTTCCACATTGTCTCCATCATGTAACAAGTTATCGACATCTTTCGACAGAGCATTGTCGCATCCGCCGCCATGTTCAATCATGTCGGCGATGGTATAATTCTGACGCACTATTCTGAGCATAGCGTTCGGGTCATGGACACCCAAAGCTAACCCTCAGGGAAAGCCCTGCCGCTCATGTCGGAGGTTGTGTTGCAGTAGCACTCGATCCCCAAGGGAGGTGCGTATTAGCTGTTACATGCTCTAATCGACATGCATTAAAGTTGTGTTCAGATATCTTGCATCTGGTGGCTATGACTCAATTGTCAACATGTTCGATTTGAGTGAATGGATATGTGCTCGGACAATCTCCACTTGCGAGTGAGTGGATCAAAACATATTACTTTCTCCACTCACTTAATTTCCTTCAGAAATGCGATCAACGCATTGAGCTTCTCGTACGATGGAGAGTACCTCGCTATTGCAGTTACAGGACCCACATAGTAAGGACTCGATTTCTAGCTATTCATATACTTTTAACATGATCTGGGCACAATAGTATGCAACAGAGACGGGTGCTCCATTGCATCGTGTTCCTGCATTGGCACCGTCACCTACAGTGACCTGGCATCCCTCAAAATACGTCTTTGCCTATTGTGGGCAAACAAAGCTCCGGGAGGGTGGACCTCCTCCTGTGGCTATTATCAGCCTATTAGGGGGTGGAATTTGATAGGCGAGCTTTGGAATTATTATCATCCATGTCGTTAAATCGCCACACTTGTTTGAGTTCCTTCGATTCTGTACAAAAATTCGATGGATTGTGACAACTACAGGTTTGAAAGGCCCATCAGCGTGTTCCAAAAAGTTGGCGTCTAATGGTATCCTGTGGGCGCAATGATTTTCTTCTCCTGAGAAACTTGCGTCTAATCGGATTACTTTCTGATGGATGGTCTTTGTAGTTGCACAATAACTTTCGCAAATGAGGCGAGTCTCCTTGGTAATTAGTATGACAGAAGTTCACAGAACTAGTAGTTCATCAGAAATGCGGTGTTTCAGCGCTCGGTTATGCAGTGCCTTTCAGGGCCCTGAGGTCAGATGATCAATATACTTGTTTCGTAAGGCTGCCTTGAGGACGATTCGAGTTCTCACAGGACCTTTATACAGCTCTTAGTAAGTTCACGCAATAAACGGAGTGCAGGCTGAGCGCTGATATTTGAAGACCCACCCAACATGCTGTGGATTTACCGTCATCTACAACATCCACAACAATGCACCTACAGATTCCATTTCATGGCTCACCATTCTCGCTAGATTCAGCGGGTGTTGCCGGCTTTTTCGGCGGCGATGAAACGCTATCAGCTATGGGTACCGTACATTTGTACCGCGGCCGAAGATGGCTGGGGTGGTACAACTCTCCAGGGAGCTATACGGTCGCTAAAAGATACGGCCAGTTAGCCAACTCCCGATTCTGGGATGGACTATTCCCAGGTCCAAATTCCGAACCAGCTGAAACGTTTGGCCTGGATGGCAAGGCTGGGCCGCGATACGTCGCTTCGCTGTCTGGTACAGATATGGCGACGGGGCACCTTGCATACCTCACAATACAGATGAGCAAGGAGTTGGAAGGCATGGCGGTTCAGGGAAAAGCCAGCACGGAGACATTACCTGCATCAGTGACCGTCATCCGCGTCGGAGACGTCATGGATATGGATGAAGTGGGGATGATGAGCATCCATCACGCACTACTAGCCACGATACCCATAACCATCAGCATCATGACATGCTTCTCATGTGCTATCTTTGACGACTGGTATGCCTTCAGCCTCATCCTTCTCGGAATCATTTCAAGTGGCATAACCTGCTTCGTGATCGGTACTGCGAGGCTCCATCTCCGGGGACCCAAAACTGTGACCCCGGGGGTCCCCCCAGGTGATGGATTGCTTCTGACCCCGCGCGATGTCGTCGTTCTGATAGGGTCGGAGAAAGATGTGAATGTGATAACGAAGGGCCATTTCTTACTGGGCATGCATGGCAAACCAGAGTACCGGAGCGTTGGACTGTGTTCACTCCTTTTACTAGCACAATTCTTGCTACAGCTCCTCTTGATCCCCCAAGCGACACTCTTCGGTCAAATGATGTTTCTTGCCTCGTGTGCGGCGTCTTGGGTCTACAACTCGTTCCTCTCTTCACTTGAGAGCGAAAAGATACAAGGAGACCTGCTTTGCAAGGCGCTGCAGGTTAAAGATCACGCGGTCCAGAAGTATTGCCTCCATAATAGGAGGAGCCAAGCTGTTTTCGCCTGCTCTATTCTCAGTGATGGAAACGAGACAAACGAAGACTTCGATGCGGAGCGTATGTTATCGTTGTTCGTGCCGAACAAGACGAGGGTTTGGAATCTCTGGAGAAAAAAGGTTGCAGCGCAGTTGAAATCTGCCTGTCCAGATAAGATTTTCCATGTAACAGCAGAGGAGAAGGAGGGTTTATGCGAAGAGCAATCCACATTGCTGGAGACCTTCCTAGATGATGCGGATCGTGCGATTAAGGCTTACTACGAGCACGCTCGGTATTTGTGCTCCATACGCAACTCCCCGATTCAGTGGGAGCCAAAGGATGTATGAATAACCGGTATGCATGGCTGGACTTGTTGCGTAGAAGGTCTCCTTATTTATGATCGCATTTGACACTCATCATACTGTAAACGTCGAAGAATTCGAAAGAGTAACTGTCAAACAAGATGCAGGCTGGGCACGTCAGGATCCGAAGGGCAGAGCATAGGTTGGAATACGAATGCGCCCAGTACGCAGGCACGCGAAGCTAGATATAAGCAAGAAGGTTCAGTGAGCGAGCGACAGTGCAAGTACGTACCAACTGTGTCTCAACACCCAGTTTCAACCAATTTAGGGACTCAGTTAAACTTGTATGTATCTGGCGTCGCACGATTCTTCGGTGGAGACGAGACTATCCACTGATACGAGGCTAAGAGGTGGTCTGGATGATACAACGCTCCCAGCGGCTTCGCCGTCGTCAAGCGCCTGAGCACCATCGGGTCCAATGGAACGCGTCTTTTTCCGTGCTTAACGAAAAGCCATAAAAAGTTCTCGGGCTAAACAAGCAGTTGGGTCCTAAAGACATTGCTTCTCTGTGTGGCACCATCATTGGAAAACTAGAACGACTCACGTCGCATACCTTGTAACCCAGATGAACACGGAGGCCCCCTAAGGCCGGTCCCTACTAGATATGTACCACTGTCTAACAGTGTCTAACTGCCAGTGATTGATTTAGAGCGGGATGAATGATCCGAGAGCTTGGTTGATATAGGCGGGGGGGCCCCCGCCTGACTATGATTGTACCTGACAGACACCTCATAGTGCTAGTAGTTGCCGAACATTTGTGCACTGCGTGGGTATGGTATTATAATTTATTGTAGTTGTAGATTTGCTGTACATTCCACTTACACGATGAGGAGTTGTCCGAAGTAGTAAAGTTGAGGAAATGAGCCTATCGTTGAGTTACTACTAATGGATGCCTAACCTGAATGTGTCCATCAGCCAGTCGAGCTTCAATCTCAATCTCGACACGTCGGGTGTCGCTGGATTCCTCGGTGAGAATGAAGCGATCTCAGATTCTCAGCGATGGCAACTGTCCATCTTTACCGCGGGAGGCGCTGGCTAGGCCGGCATAATTCACCAGGAAGTTACATTGTTGCCAAAAAGTTCGGGCAACTTGCTATTCGCGATTTTGGGATGGGCTTTTCCCTGGTCCAAATTTCACACCAGCTGAAGTATTTGGGTTGGATGGAAAGACCGGCCCCCGTTATTGGGGCGTTCTGTTGAGCACGGATATGGCCTGTGGTCACCTGGTGGCATACCTCGCGATGCAGTGGTAGAATTGGGAGGACGGGAGACTTGGCATACCTCAAACAGTCACCATCCTCGATCGATGTCAGAGATGTGATACTCAAGCACACAGACCAGGCGCCGATATTAATGATGAGCGTCCACCATGCGCTCTTGGCCGCTATCCCCATTACTATCAATCTCGCAACGTGAGTGATTTGCGCGGCTTCAGGAGATTGGCTAGCTTTTTCCAGTTTTTATAGATCCCAGCGCACACGGTACAGCCACAAAGGATTATCAATTTATGACTCAACGTCCTAGGCCGAGTCTTAGTACGCATCAGGGATCACTACTCACTATACTGCACCTCTATGTGCGGAGGTAACCGTAACGCGCCTTGGTTACATTTCTGATTCATACCCCACCATAACGCGTTAGAGGAAGTCCCACCCCACAGCATCCGATGTCATCACTGGCTGCTAACTTTCCAACTGCGGCGGTAAGTACGTAGCCCATAATCCACGCCGCACAGACTCTATACAAAGAGGTATAGTTCCGGTGTTCAAGGATGCTAACCAAGCTCAGATGCTTACCAATGAAGCTGCTCAGCCTTTAAAAAAGAGTTTCAAGATTGGCCACAGCACTTCAAACCTCACATCTTAGTACTCCATGACGCAGACACTCGTCCTGTATGATACCCTCTCCAACCTACCAGGCAACAACTGGTCACCCAACCCCGCAAAGTCGAGGTCAGTAATTCATGTTCTGTGTGTCACTTTGATATCTGATCAAAGTCTACTATGCCTCAGGTTCATTTTGAGCTACAAGGGTCTTCCATTTGTGACTGTCTGGGTCGAATACTCAGACATCTCGATCGCTATGAAGGCCATCGGTGCAAAGCCAAACAAACGTTCAGACGGCACGGATGTTTACCCCGTCCCCGTCCTCAGCGACCCTAACACCGGTGCCCTCATAACTGACTCCCTCGAGATTGCCTCCTACCTCGAAAAGACATATCCCGAGAAGGCCATTTTCCCCAACAACTCAGAATCCTTCATACGCGAGTTCGACTCCGCCCATTCCAGACTCATTATACCTGCTATAAAGTCTATCTTCGCACGCTCCGCGGAAATATTGAGTCCCGCCAGTGCGAAATTCTTCATCGGAGTCCGTTCGATAGATGTCCCGCTACCTTGGGATGCGACTTACGGTGAAGACTGGGCCTCACTAGAGAAGGGGTACAATACTGCGTATGAATGGTACCAGAAGACAGACGGGAAGTGGTTCATGGGCAACACTTTTTCGTATGCAGACATCATCGTGGCTTGTCGTTTGCTGTGGTTCAAACGAGTTTTGAAGGAGGATGAGTGGGTCAGGATCAGTTCTTGGAATGGAGGGAAATGGGCCCAACTTCTTACAGATGTGGAGAAGGAGTGCAAATTGGCGTAGAAGATTGCGCATCCTATAGCCTTTATTTCAGAGAAATTTAAAACAATGATAGGTTCCTTCAACAGGTCAACTGTCGTAATCACGAAGTGCGCACCACATGTCTGGCTCCGGGCCCACCTCTAGGTCAAGCCCAAGCCGACCTATCGGACTCGTGACAAAATCGCAGTGGGGACAGTACTTCAAAGCTTCATGTCGTGAGAACTTTGCTTGGGGAATCGTTGATGAACACGTTCGATTGCAGGTTCGATGCTCTTGACCACAGGTAGACTTGAGTCCCCATTGTGAGCGGCGCTTTTTCAGGAAGCTGAGTCCAATTCATTTGAGTATCAGATGCTCTCGACTGTTCTACCTGCGAACATCAGGTCGTCCTTGCTGGGATCCGATGCGAACGCAGGCTTCGATATGCAGTCAAACCGATATGCAGTCAAACCAGCGGTGGAATAAAACTAGGGTACCGTATACATCGATTCAATAAAATAAAATAAAGTGCACACTGCAATACTCGAAACAAACAACGATCGGACACTGAAAATCCTTGGCATAGCAGCAAATCGAACCGTAACCAAAATCCACCATAAAAGTACAGGGGACACGACACGAATAATTATCATTTGGTGGTAGGAATTGCATCCATACAAATCCTGAGGCCTGAATTTCTGTGATTCGCAACTTACTTGTTTTGGATCTCCGCGATCGCCTCGATCTCTGGTTTGAGACTCGCCCAAAGGCTATCGACACTGTGTACTGGCTTCCACCCGATCAATTTGGATCGGTCTGCCCGAGCACGAGAGTTCGATCCAAGACCTGGGCCCTGTGAATTGTTGGTTCATGAGTAATCCATAGACAAGGATGACCAAAGACCTACCCCGAAATACTTTTGCAACTCATCCTCTGTGAAGACCGTAGGCTCAGGACTTTTGCCTATCTTTGCCTCAAACAACAACTCCGCGATGACTTCAGAGATCCTGCCCACACGATGTTCTCCATTTTCACCAAAGTAAAAACCCTCGCGGCCATGGCCTGCTTCACCTGGCCCTCTGATGGCAGCATCGAAAATGGTGATGTACAAACTCGCTATGTCGTTGATGTGGACATTAGGCCACAGATTCAACCCTTTTCCGACGACTCCGCCCTGTTTTCTGTCAATGCCGGCTTTGATGAGACTAGGGATTTGTATAGAGTACGGATTCTGAATGCCGAGTTTGACTAATGATGTATTCGCGATTCCGTAAATCGTTGAAGGCAAAACGATATATGTCCGCACGTAACCTGTATCGTATATTCATTTATAGAACATAAACAAGTAGAGTAAGGATCAATGTTACCTTTTTCATCAGCAGCGACGACTTCGATGTCGACTTCACGATGAGGTTGCGTCTTGGGTAGTGTCTCGATCAATGGGATGTCAAGATCGGAATAGACTTTATCAGTGGCATAATTTCCTGCGGCATTGTCTGCAAGAACACCGGTTCCAGACTGACGAAGTTTAACACGCATTGCAGGTGAAAGGAACAAGGAAAATACACACGGTGTGGATGAGAATAGGGACCTTGCCAGTTTCGTCGTGTCTCCTTTTCAATCCTAACAATATTGCTTTGGCTGCCTGGAGGTCATCAGAGTCAGCCTACATAGGGGTAATTAGCTATATGTTCAACTCGGCAGTTTAGACTCGAAACGGACGCAAGCAAAGACTACATCAGAGTTCCTGGCATGTTCTGTCAGCTTGTCAAGATCTTGGTTCGAGCCGACGACAGCTACGACTCCAAGGCTGTTGAGCGGCACGACTTTGTCGGGGGAGCGAGTGAGAACAGTGATCTGAAATGATTTCGCCTTAGGGTGGGACAACAATGCGGACAAAACAGATCCGCCAATGTAACCTGCAATTGACAGTCAGCGTCAAGTCAAGTTATGTTCGAGGAGGACTCACCAGTAACACCTGTTATGAAAATGTGCGTCTTCTCGGATGTGGACATGATGGCTGGGCTCTAAGTTGGTGAGTTGGGTCAGACCCAACTTCCTGATATTTATGGTCGTGAACTGTATGATATGGCGTCATGATTACACCATGAAGCTTCGAAGACTTAGTCACCCTAGTATCCTAGCCGCTAAGGCCTGCACGGGCAGCAGGCTAGCGTCACGGTAGCCTTAGTACGGTAGTAAGGCTTAGTAGTACCTGGGCTCTTTGCGCGTATAGGTCTTCCAGTGCTCTACATTCCTGTGTGGTAATTGACAGCTTAAGCTTGGTACAGCATCCCACACCGTGCTTGAATATTGAATCAGAGCCATGCCCGAGAGATATCGGCCTACAATTAGTCATCGTGCGCACTTTCAACACTGTCATGCTGTCACACACATGATAAATCACTGTCACATCGAAACCTTCTTTCCAGTTTCACTAGCTACTTCATGTAGATCCGACAAGAAACTTCCAGAATCCAAAATCTTTTGTGACAGTCCTCACTTGTTCCATTGATCGGCTGGTGTAGTCTTACGGTTGCAGTGTAATGCACCTCCGAAAAACCTGAGCGCTCAGCTCAGCGGGGCTAAGACTTCATCTGGGCGCAAGTTGGTGCAAGATGGCAATCAAGAGAAGAGTTCCTTCGACGACCATAATATTGATGAATTCATCCCCGATGCATCCCCGTATGTCTGGGTTAGTATCTCCTTTTGCCATATAACGCTGCAGACTCCGGTCAAAGTGTTGACACCTCATGAACTACTCATTATTAATATAGTTATCAGCTATCTGGCTTCACGATTCGCAGTGTCTATATATGTCCAGACAGTGGAGCACCAACGCGCAGAATCAGCTGTCAAGGCACTTTTACTGATTCTCGTTGTATCTTAACATCAGCCATCAAAGACCAGGTTGCCTGCTAGACGTTCCGGATAATTTCACCTTGCCACTTGGTTCAAGTTGTGGGTGCTTTGTTCCGGTAGTGATACAACAGGAAATAGGTTTGCCTGGACCTTTCAGATATACTTCGAAACACCATATGTTTGATAAATACTATGACGGATCCTCCACCAAATTTCTCCTCCCTGCAGACCACTCGGCAAGCATATCCCTACACAGTACTGCTAGTCGATACATGTACATGTTCCTGGAAAACAATCGAATTCATGCTAGTTTCTGCGTCATAGTATGCCACGAGTTTGGCGTTGTATCCCAGCACAAACATCTGCACGACCGATACAATTTCAAGAACGCCATAGAGTATCAGAGCTCCAATAGAATTTAAATTCTAAAGAACTGATGAGCAGTGGTTACATGCAGATGTTGGTGACAGGTCGGCGCACCTCGATTTCTGGAGAAAGATGAGCAAACTGGAGGCAAGAGACACCAACAAAGCTAACATGTGCGGAACTTGAGCAAAAAAATATAACCGCATTCACATCACAAACTCACGTTGCAAAATAAAGAACGTGAGATTGTATCAGTACTCTGAAACAGTCGCCGATGGTCGATCCTGTCGATGGGCCGAGTCGTCGCAGCTCACGGAAGTGTTTCACAGCAACCCAGAGTGAAAGACACAGTGCGAGGACCTCCCAAACAGTGTTGAGCATCCAAACGATCGAAATAAGAAGCCGCTCGTCCCTTCCATATACATAATCGCACATATATTTGCCAGAGTATGAATTCCTCTGGTGTTTGTCCAATGAGCCGTGTTCTTCAAGTCGACAAGTAAAGTTTACCTGCTACAGCATCGTTGAGTCCTATTGCCGCGATTACTGCGCAGGCGATGTTTACAGCCAGGAAGATAATAATAAGGAGCATAAGCATCCCTCTAGATCCCTGATACATGGCATGCAACCGAGCAATCATGATCACTTGGATCGTGTGTCAGTCATGTCCATATCACAGAGGTATTGCACCTTGGCAACTCACCGCCCAACATGGCAGTCAAGGCCACAATTGTCGCACTTGCTGCGTACTCCATGATAGTGCCTAAAAACTCGCAATTTGTGAACGCCCTCACACTAGAATCAAAGACTCCGACTTACACCTATTGAGTCATTATGTTGAGCCAAGTTCAATGGTTGGAATCTCACTCACCCCTACATATGAGCGTATTGATTTGATGGGAATGAAATGGTTGCAGAACACTCACCTGCATCTGTCAGCGATACTGATGGCATGGTACCTGTGTCTCGCCGGTCAGAGAAATGGAACACAGCGCATATGAGACATACGCAGAACACTGGCACTAGTTGTCAGAGATGAGCTATTAGCATGGTGCAAAGTCGTTAATCTCGACACATGCAGACAAACGGTATTCCAATATAGCGTATCTAGATCATTTTGGAGTCAGCACAAGTTGCCCGCCACGCTAAAGCACAACATGAGTACGAACAATCAAATACAGCAAGTCATGAGAGACCAGCGTTGTCTCTGTCACGAATTATTGCATGCTCTTGTTCTCTTCTGATACGGGATTCTTGTCACTCGCCCATATGAGTTCAATCTAACACACCATTCTTAGCAAGTTGGCTGTTACGGCGATAACATCGACGTACCTCTTGTCCGAGTGTTAAGGCTGGAAATATCATGAGAATATCAGCAATTTTCGAACACTGTCCTGCTCACCCCAATCGTATACCACCACGACGCCGGCAGCAACTGAACAACCGCAAGTCAACGTTGGATCTAGACATCTTGATGCGACAGACCTTCCCAATGGCTGAGAAGAATATCGAAATTGATTGTCGGCCACCAGCTAGGATCATTTGAGACTATGGTCATGTTCAAACAAAAAGAAGCCCTGGACAATCAAAGTAGACTTTGATTTACAAACCAGTATTACATTTCTGTAACAAGGTCGCATTCTGTAGTATGGCAAAAGTCAGAGAAGAAACACAACAGCACACTTTATTCGGTGGATCCGATGGTGCACTTGATGCGACGATAATGCATTGCACTGGCGGATACATCGCGACTCATGCTGTGTGATTGATGCCTATTACAAAAGATAAGACGCCATACATACTAGGTCGAAAGAGAAATCGCACGTGGGAGACGAGAGGCCTGCAACAGGTAAAAAAGCCCGATTTCTGATTGTACAGCCTTGGTCGGCGGCCATTGTATTTCAGGGATGTTTTGCAGTGCCGACTTGAGCAGGAGCCGGTAAAGGTTGCAAGCTAAAAGCAAGATCCAGAGTCAAATAAACCAAGAACGCCATTGTCACTTCATCATACTCAACAAATTCAGGGGCAGGCTATGAAAGTCGCATCGTAGTCGGATGCTTGTTCCTGCATAGCCATCGTACAGACACATCATTGCTTCAGCCTTATTCCACCTGCACAGGGTGCCAAAGATACAAATCCAAAACAGTCGCATATCACAACATGCAGATAGCACCACATCTTCACGCGATGAAGCGCACGGTAACCATCCCATCCCCTATCTTCGTATGGAAATACTCAGCCTGGATGATGGAATCGCCATGACCTAGAAGAATTGCCATACAAATGTTCCTGCACCGTATATCCACCATTTTTGTGGTTCTCCGAGCACTTCAAATGCACAGATATTATTAGGTATTTCCCATGGGGTTTGATGTTGATATTCTGTCGTTCGAGAAGCTCGACTGTTGCAGTGGCTATCTTGGCTCCGGAATTCTAGTGTAGGTCAATCCTGTGTCGGCGCAGATCAGTGGCATCGAGTGTTGGACACATGAATCTATGACTTACCTGTGGCAACACCAAAGCACAGCGATGAATCAAGGCTCGCAATAAATAATACCGTCAAGTGTTTGCATTCGCGCACCAAACACAATGCACAAGAGGCGGGGTCTTCATGTGTTCCCAGCGGCCTGGCCAGCTTGTCTCAAAGGCCGCGGCGCTACCTTCGGCGCTTAATTTGCGGAGTCAAATAATGAACCAAACGTGTAATAGGATTACAGCTATTTGCAAAATGGTTGGCACTATCAGACGCGAGGCCAAGACTAGAAATTAGAATACTTCGCACTATAAACTAGGCGCCGTCGCCGGCGATGACCTGGTGAGGCACATATGTCAATCACGAACCATCTGTGAGAAAAATTTGTCCAGTAACATACTTACGTTGCCATCGACAGTGGCAGGAGGCATACGTGGGTTCTCCAATAGAAGTGGCAATCAAAGCTGGTTGGGAGTGGGAAGGCGGTAGCATCGATTCTAGCGAAAACTGAGGAGCTGAGGTATCGACTGCATGAATGTAGTTGTGATGAAATACTGGTGATTGGGAGGCTAGTGGATTGGTGAGAATGTCTGCATGTTCCTCCGAAGACTGAAGGACGACAAATGTACGTGAATGAGTTGCCAAACGCGCCCGTTGCTGGTTCAATGCTCTACGCGGCGAGCCATATGATTCTGTCCAGTAGAGGTAGCACTAGTGATTTTCCGGCTCGGCTTGGCTCGAAAGCCCCGGCTTTGGCCCAGCTTCAGACGGCCTGGGCTTTCAGAAATTGAAGGCCGGGCCAAAGCCCTCGAGAACGGCTTGGCCCTGGCCCGGCCCGGCCTGAGCCACGGCCTGTGTATGAAAAACATGCTGCTTGAAATTGAATTCAACTCGTCAATGGGCACCCTGCACTGGATCCCTGTCAAAATCAGAGATCAAATATGGGGTACCGAGAACTATATGACTACTGCTTTGAACGTGTCCACTATCGAGTGGAAGTTTGGTTATGTTCAAGTAACGCATCCAGACACGTCACAGACTCTGAGTCACAGAAAAATATCATACAGCGGCCTTTTACACGTGATTCCGGCATTTACTCTTACTTCAACGATGTCGATTCCACACGGAATCAAACGACTAGGCGTCCTCGGTGCGGGCCAAATGGGCACCGGCATTGCCTTCGTATCCGCCCTCCACGCCAAAGTCCCAGTCCTCCTCCATGACAAATCTGCACACCAAATATCCAAAGGCCTCTCCCTGATAGACAAGCTCCTCGCCAAAGACGTGTCTAAAGGTCGTCTCCAAGCGTCCGACGCAGCAGATGCACGTGCACGTATACAAACAGCGGACTCCGTCGAAGCCATGCGTGATGTAGACATGGTCGTAGAAGCCGTATCCGAGAACCTAGACCTCAAACGCGCTATATTCCGCGAGTTTGCGGCGAAGATCCGTCCGGATGCGATCTTGGCTACGAACACGTCTTCGATTAGTATCACGAAGATTGCAGGGGCTGTTATTCCCGAGGGGGAACCTGCGGCGGGCGAAGTAGCGAAGGCTGTGTCTGGGAGGGTGGTTGGTGAGTGTTTGGGATGGTGTATAGTAGTGATCGATTGACGGCAGGTATTCTAAGGTCTGCATTTTTTCAACCCTGTACCTGTTATGGTGATGCAGTTGTTTACTGTGCTTTGAGTGGCGTGTTGATGCCATGTATGAATATCAGAAACTCGTGGAGCTCATATCTGCAGTGCAAACGTCGCAAGACACGCTAGACCGTTCACGCGCATTCGCTGAAGCGTGCGGGAAAGGTATTTGTTCTTTCGGGATGAATTGTACTTCGTTGTTGACACACCGTCAAGAGGTCGCTACGTCGCAGGACGTGCCTGGGTTTGTGTCGAACGCGTTGCTTATGCCATTTATCAATGAGGTGAATAATTCTGTCTGTTGTTTGTGCGTCGTATATTTAATTTTAACTCAGGCAATTATGTGCTTAGAGAAGGTGATTATCGGACACTAATCGTTCATTTTGAGTTTTACTGACGCATGTGTCGTGTATCCAGGGCGTTGCGACTCGTGATGACATCGACAAGACGTTCAGGTTAGGCATGGCACATCCTATGGGGCCGTTACAACTTGGTGAGTTACTGTAGCAGATGCGCCGTATCTTTCTGATGGTCACGCACGGTTTTCCACAGCTGATTTGTAAGTGCAACTATCACCTTTTGTTTCTTTTGTATCGCTCATCGGAAGATAGTATCGGTCTTGATACCTGCCTCTCTATTCAGCAAACGCTCTACAAGGGTACCTCGGATTCTAAGTATCGCCCTTCGGTCTTGCTTGAGCGTATGGTGGATGCTCAGTATCTTGGAAAGAAGAGCGGTCGAGGATTTTATGAGTACAACAACTGATCATTCTCTCCTACTTGTATCTACGTGCAAAGAACACTAATTTTCCCGGAATAGCCCCTGTGGCAGGTCATGTGAGATACTTACCAAATCGAAGTCTATTCAAGTAATCTATTCTTGTGTATACCATCAACAACATCGTCTAGGATCTCACAAATGCCTCCTAAATCCCTTATCGATCTCTCGCATCCTCTCACTCCCCAAACGACTATCTACCCCGGAGATCCACCCTTCGCGATGCGCAGCGTGTGCAACATCCCAAACGATGGATACACCGTACACGCTGTTTCGCTCGGAACGCACACAGGGACACACGTCGATGCCCCGTTCCACTTTTTCGCGCACGGCCAGAAGTTGCATGAGCTTCCTCTCGAGAGATTCGTCGGGCGTGCTGTGGTCGTCGATGTGAGGCACCTAGCGTGTGCGAGAGCACGCATTCGGTGGAGGGATGTGAGAGAGTGCCTTGATCGGACTCGCGGCACGATTGCTTCCCTTGGGCCGCGGTCAGAAGGGAAGATCGATATGGTGCTGTTCTGGACGGGGTGGGATGGATGGTGGAGCGCGCAGAAGTACTTTGATCATCCGTATTTTGGGAGAGATGTCGCGGAGGAGCTTGTGGAGATGGGTGTGCAGCTTGTGGGTGTTGATACGTTAAGCCCTGATGAGACTGTTTTGGTGCAGGATGGAGGGAAGCAGAGGGAGGATGCTTTTGCGATGCATGAGGTGCTTTTGGGTCGTGGATGTTTGATTTGCGAGAATTTGACGAATTTGGGGGAGCTTGTGGGTAGGAATTCTGAAGAAGGGGAGGAGGTATGGGTGAGTCTTGCGCCTCTGAGTTTACACGGAGCAGATGGGGCTCCTGTACGGGCGTTCGGGTGGACGGAGAAACCTAGGTAGACGGTGTATATTCTTGTCAGATATGTGGATCTGGTGACCAACCGCGCACCTCCGATTACCCCATCTAATGTTCTAATTTTGTTTCGCGACATGATGAAGATATAAAATCACACGGACGCAGGCGGCCAGCAGGTCGTACTGCTGTCCGGTCATAATTCATTCACGACTGTAGCTGTCATCGTATGTAAGAAAATATGTCCTTTAGTCGCAAATTAGTCATATCGAAATGATACGATTCCGTACATAACTGAGATGGCTGGCTCCCACAGTTCGTGTGGTACAACCGCAATGATGATCGACCTCACCCACACGCTGACAACATCAACTGAAGCCCCGATGTCGATATGGCCGGGGCACCCAACACTGGAGATGAAAAAAGTTGCCACAATCCCGGAACAGAATGCCAACGTGACGCTTATTACACTAGGGTCTCATACAGGGACTCATATTGATGCGCCCAACCATTTCATTGCGGACGGATTGACAGTGGACAAGTACGATTTGACCAAACTTGTGGGTCGTGCGCTGGTCATCGACGTGAGGGGGAAGAAGGAACGTGAGAAGATTACCTGGGAGGACATGCAGAAATGGGAGGGGGAGATGCACGAAGGGGTGATCGTGCTCATATGCACTGGGTGGTCGCAATACTGGGGCAAGGAGAATTACAAAGATCACCCGTTCATGGATTTGGATGCGGCGAAGAAGCTTATGGAGACGGGAGTGAGAGTGATTGGATGCGATACGCTGAGCCCTGACAGCATGATATGCTCGCCTGAGTGCGAAGTGCACATAGAGATACTGGGCGCGGGAGGGATGATTGCAGAGAATTTACGGGGGATAGAACAAGTGCTGGCATTGAAGGACCCAATTGTGAGCTTGCTGCCACTTAAGTTAGATAGTTGCGATGGCTCGCCAATACGAGCGATAGCTTGGTCTGCAGGAGGTGAGTACTTTAGTTAATTAGTTGTTGAAGACGTTACTTATTAAATTGTCAGATATTCTGGGGTGAGAAAGTATTAGTGGGGTTTCGGAAGCAATATAACCATTAATGATTTTACAAGTTGGATGAAAAAGCCGATAATCATTCCTCTAACTGCTAAGGCCACTTCTGAGACTTTGCGCTCGTCTTTCCTACTGCGCCCTTTGCCGGATGCTCGTTAGTTCTTTTGTTCGTGTGATCCTTTTTATTTTCAATCTCTTCTGCTAACTTTCATCAAGGTTAATTGAGGCTTCCTTTGTAGCTTCAATTTTATGCAGACGTTCATCAACCACGAGCAAGGCACAGGAGTTTGGGAGGTTTTACCTTCTACCTGTTGGGAGATCAGGTATGGATCTGTCAACTGGTCCTTTGACACACAATACTGTCGTGTCCCCATTAAACCTGTATCCCATCCAAAGCCACCCCATTATCATGGTTCCCTACTCAGGACCTCACGTCCAAGACGGCGTTATACAATTCTTTGCAAAGCTAAACCATTCGGACCTTCTCAAGATCCGACAACCCTACCTTATAACTCTGCGGACGAATGGCCACTCTCCGAGTCACTGAATCACAAATTCATTGGCGTTCAAGTCGCAGAAGACGTCTTGAGAGCGTACGAACTGGATTCTGGATTCACTCATTCTATCATGCCTGATATCACCTTGGACGAATTGTATACTAGTTGGACTAAGTTGTCCGTTGACGTCGACGAAGAGGAGGTCGAGTTTGCGAGGTCTGAGTGGGTTGCTCGTGTTCAGGATCTAGTCGGGGATATACAGCTGTCCCGGGCTATATCCGCCTCCGACATTGACGGTACGTTTGAGATTTACACTTTTCTTGCAAATCATTTTCATGCCTTCTCCTCAGGCGGCCGTCCTCAGTCCCCGCTCTCCTCGCTGGAATACGATTCAGAGCCATCTACCGATTCTGATGTACTCCCTTCCACGCCCACACAAAGGAGTGCATTCTCCGATGTTGAGGTACATCAGCCCTCCCCGGTGTTAGATGGCCGCGGTCTTTCCCCACCCAAGGCTCTCAATGGGTCGGCAAGAGCTTTCACCCCAAAATCAGGCCCGCCACCCAAATTTTTAGTATCCCCCTCACCAGACTCAAGCTCGTCTCCTACCTCAGTCAACTTTGTATTCCCAGCTATCAACGGTAACTACCAGTACCTTCCTCCAGGCCTGAAACGGGATGACCAAGGGTTCTACACCTCAATCACCCCACCTGGCTCACCATCTCATGCCCGTCTTGATTCTTCTCGGCCTTCCTCGCGGCTGTCATCTACGCGTCTCCCGCAGTTCTTGTCTGATGTGCAGTCGCGCAAGGCCTCCAAGACCAGAGTCATCGTGGACCAGATGAGATCCACTCCTGTTGCCACCAAGAAAGGCAGGCCTCGCAATCACTCCAAATCTTCATCTGACAGCTCGCCAGGACCTTCTACACCTCACATCGACGCGGGAGACAGAAAGAGTACCGGCTCTGCGCAAGGCAGAGGCCGCGACGACTCTGATCCAGATCTACCCCTCAGCCCCGACAATCCCATCACGCCAGGCAGAAATGGGTGGATGGAGCTCCCATCGCCTACTTTCAGCATTAAAGCAGTGATCCCCAGCAGCGCTGCACGTCCGTCGTTCCCTGTATCATCCTCATTTTCAGACGCGCCCTTCCTCACACAACCCCCCGTGCCTTCTGGAACTTTCTATCACATCCCACGCGCGCCGGCTTATCCATACTCGTATGTCCCAGCCAGCGCTCCACCACCACTGCCACCACCAACCTCATGGGTTCCTATCACTGGTTCCACTTACCCAAGCAGCATGTATGCACGACCCGTCGTGTGGTGATGCCGCCTATGTAGAAGCACCTTTTTTGCCATTCGTCATTCATCATAATTACTATATGTAGCACCACTCCCTCTCTTGTTGTCTGTTTTGGAGGTGGTATGACGGACCTTGGGGACTGTCTGCTGTAACTGACTGTTCTGTTCTTGTCACATTGTGCTTTATGTATGTGTCCTGTGCGTGTTTCGTTCGTTATTTTTGGTTTTTGGTTTATGGTTACAAAGCGGTACATGTTGTATGCGAACAAGGAGTTACCATTAATAAGATTGAGGTAGCAATGAATAGATGGCATTTGTTAATGGGAGGTGAGCTGGATGTTGAATCCTTCGAAATCAACAGATAAACTCGGACCAAGAACTCTGGCGTGGAAGACTTTGCAGGTTAGTCACGGTGCTTTGTGAAAAGTTCCAAGTGGTATACAATCAAGACTCAGGCCTGTCAGGCCTCAGGATTGTCGGCCTCCCACTGTAGAACATTGATATATAGGCCAGCAATGATCCCCTTCTTGGCCCTCGAGCTCTGAATCCTTAGAACACTGTCTGAGGTAGTATTAGTTCTCTGGCAAGTACTATCTGCTGAGCGACTGCTCTAGCAAACGGGTGTGAATATTGACATATTAATGCTTGGCAGGCCCCAATTTTTTCTCTGGAGTTTGACTACGTAGCAAATAGGGGGAATCCCTCTTCCCTAAGTGGGTATATGTCACGTGAGACGTGATGTCCCGCTGCGCTCTGCCCTTAGGCTGCTACTGCTGCTTCTGCTAGTACCCCTACAACTTTTCATGGCGTCCGTCATCCCCGTGATTTTCATACTTGTCGTAGTCCTAGGACTAATGGCTTGTGGTTTCCTCTTCGTCCCAAAGGGACCAAATCAAACGTATCTCTTCTTCGTTTTGTCACAATCCGAACCAAACTAATACCTACCCTCGAATGCAGGACAATTCGTACGGCCATCATGCTTACGTTTGCATCATGCTATCTTATGTGGATGGTAACATATATGGCCCAGCTACATCCTCTCATCAGTTCGTCATGAAACTCGTTGCTGCGGTTTTATTGGCTAACACATGAACTTCAGCGCCATATCGTTCAACAAAGGCCGGAGAGAGTTTATGATGGTTACACGCCGTCTGAGCAGGAAATAGACGTACACCACTGTCGCTATGATAGAATTTGCATTGACGAAAGAGCACCTCAAAGTCCGCTATTCCAGATCAGTGAGTTTCCCACCGCGTGTACCTCTACCTTCGAAGATACATCACGGGCACTTCGTTACTAGTAGACCTTCGTATGATGTGATTTATACGTCCGTATCAACAGATTCCATCCGGTGCAAATGATCGGTATTTCCATTCCTACAATCCAAGCAGAAACGCCGCCGTTGCTCCAGCTTTATCTCGTATCATGAAATTGTCCGCTCTCCCTATTTTACTCTTTCTTCTGTCAAGGGGAATTTTTGACTCCTGCACTGCTACTCTCACAGCTAACCTCGTTCAAAAAAACCCAATATTGAGGATCACACGACGCTGTATTGGGCGATTGTAAACAACCAGCGAGACACCACAGAATCCATTTCAAAATTCTCACCGAAGCAGAGTATGGAAGTTAACGTGTCTCAATCAAGAGAAGAACTTTGAATCTTCGTTCGTGAGCATGAATGCGAAGTTCTTTCCTCGTATCTCCGACTTTTCGTTTTTCGCATAGGGCGATGACCTTAGAGATGTAACCAGTCAACGAGGGCTAGATGATATTGGCATCATTACCAGTGTCGATTCTTGTGTAAAAAGCTGTTCAACGGTAGACAAGTCGCATGCACTGCAGGCGGTCGCGTTGATAGCGAGGATGTAACAGAGACTTGAAGCTTGAGCCTTGGCATCAAAAAATACACGAGAGATGATGAAGAAATATGAAATCACCAGGAATTTATCAACTCCGAGTCAGGTAGTTCCCACTCTGACATCATCTCCGCTGAGGAGGTGCCTGCCGAGAAGGTGACACCACGCCCAGTGTGAGCGATGGAAGATAGTACTGTCTCGTGGATCTGAGAGCCGCCAGAGACAGACACCGCTGCAATCCTTCAGATGCGGACGTGACACAGTGTGCGACGGTATGAGTATGGCCCATCCAGGAATCTCCGACCTGCATCCAGGTCGATGGATCCCACTCATATATGGCGAAATCCTTTCAATCGCCTTCCAAGAGAAGGCGTATGCCACCGGGCGTCATCCAGTGTGACCCTTGGAAGCCTGCGACACGTTCCCTGATGCTACGTTTTCGTGTTCCATAGCTTACCCGTTTTATCTGATGAAGCAGTGACCAGTACTGTTCCGCTGGGAGAAAATTCAGCACTGAGGATCCATTCAGGATGGGCTGCGCAAATGGTTTGGTGGAGAGGTTCCTCCATCCCAGGACGATGAGCGCTTGAGCTCTCTGCTCCGATCACCACTTGCTGTGAATTGCCCATCTCGTGACGCCCAGCCTCTTCGACTGACAACATGACACCAGTTCAAGTAGACGAAATGTCTTATAGGCTCACGAACTGGTAACCATGCGTCGTCTGTCCTGCTACAGCATATATCACATCCGTGTGATTTCCAAATGTTCGAAAGAGGTGTGGTTGTTGTTGAATGAACTGCAACATTGTGATTTCACCGGAGGTTGATGGTAATTAAATTGAGCACGGCCTGGGCTTTTCTGGAGGGATTGTTGGAGTCTTACTGCTGCAGCTGCGGTGCGTGTGGGGTGTTTTGATGCTGCTTCCTGCTGCATGTGGGCAAAGTTACGCCGTCATAAGCTTGTCAAATTGACAATTGACGCTCGTGGTTATACACCTGACTTTCCAGAATTTAGAATTTGCAGCGAACTTGCACGCACCATAGTTAGACTTGTGTATGACTGGTCACTGCCTACAGTATCCTCGGAGCCGACCATGGTTATTCTATTTAGATTACATAGTACACTGAAATCATGTAAGCATTGATAAATAGAGTTTGTCTGCTTCGGCCCGTTGGGGTCACACAAAAGTTTGAAATGGAGCGGCTATTGGGGACCCGCAGTCACGATTGTTCATTCAAAAAATATAGCCGCTCAGCGCTCAGCAATGACGCAGCATAGTGGAGGTAGCACCACGGAACCCGTCTCACGGTTTCACTCCTTGTCAACAACCACTTCCGTCTCATCCTTGCCAGGCATGGTTCATGGAGAAGAACGAACACCCCTCGTAAACCAAAGCGACGTTGAGGCGGGTCATATGACTCACGTCCAGTACGGTTCTTCTTCTATGATAACTTCTGCTTCTGGTGAGCACTTGTGAGTGTTTCATAGACCCACTAATAGAAGAAAGTACAGGTGTCAAGTTGCCAGTGGATACCAGCAAGCGGAGCTCGATGTTTAAGAAACGAGTTCGATACTATGTTCCGTCCACCGCATGGATACCTGACTATTCGATTTCCCTGTGAGTACACACAGGAACTTTGATTACACGAGCTCATATCCGACAGCTTGGGTGGCGATCTTCTAGCTGGAGTCACTCTTGCGGCTATGCTCATTCCCCAATCTGTCAGTTATGGAACTTCACTTGCGAAGCTAAGTCCTACAGCTGGTTTGGTGCGCTCCTTCATGTCTTTTTGATACAATACTCATGTCTTCTCAGTTCGCTGCTGCCCTACCGCCGATCATGTACAGTCTTTTGGGAACGTCAAGACAACTCAATGTTGCTCCAGAAGCTGCGCTTTCACTCCTCGTCGGACAAGCAGTCTCCGATTATCGTCGTGGGGATCATCATGTTCGTCCTGAAGACGCCGATGCCGTTGGTATTGCAGTTGCCACTGCCATCACTTTCCAGGTAAGTAACGATATTCTCAATTGGGGCTGGAACATTGGCTCAAAAGACATTCATATCATAAATCATAATTTTGTAGGTTGGCCTGTTTGCGTCAATGCTTGGATTCTTTCGGCTGGGCTTCCTAGATGTTGTTCTCAGTCGTGCGCTCCTCCGAGGATTCGTGACTGCAGTTGCGGTTGTCATTGCGGTGTGCGTACAATCGTTAAACAAAGATGACCCACGAAGTGCTCAAGTTGTATCACAGAGAACAATTAATACCTATGTTTGGCCTCGATGTCTTAGAGAAACAGATGAATCCCGCGTCAACCCTGGACAAGATAATTTTTCTTCTAGAATTTTCATGGAGTGATTTCCACGAACCGACGACGCTGGTCAGCTTCGGGGCGTTGCTCGTGCTCATATTCATGAGAACTTTCAAAGGTTACTTCAGACGAACTTGGTGGATCGAACGGCTCCCTGAAGTCCTGCTCGTTGTTGTGCTCTCTACAAGTATGCCCCTCGTCTTCTTGTTTTTCCTCTCTGACTGGTTTGTATAGTTATCTCAGGCTATCAGCGTTGGGACAAAAAAGGTGTCGATATCCTCGGCATAATACCTATCAAAACTGGAGGTGATTTCTTTAGTTTTCCGCTGAAACAATCAATAGGCTACATCAGAGGAACGACTTCGACTGCGGTGTATGTGGATAGTTTCCTTCACGAATGCCTTTATTAACATCAATCAGTTTGATAACCATCATGGGTTTTTTGGATAGTACTGTTGCAGCGAAGCAGAATGCCGATCGCTTTGGCTACTCTATCAGTCCGAACCGTGAACTCGTTGCACTTGGGGCTGCAAACCTTTTTGGATCTTTCGTTCCTGGCACATTACCAGCATTTGGTTCAATCGTGAGGTCGAAGATTAATGGCGATGTTGGTGCGCGTACGCAATTGGCCTCCCTCGTTACTGCTGGCATAACACTGGGGGCGACATTCTTCCTTCTCCCGTATTTATACTACCTACCGAGATGTGTCTTGGCATCGATGTATGTACCTTTCATCTCCACTTGGTCTGTGGCGCTGACTTGTCTTCTAGCATCTGCCTCTTTGTGATATCACTGTTCAGTGAGGTCCCCCATGACCTAATGTATTATTGGAGGTGTGATAGGTTGTCTTGTATAATCTTAGGGTGCTGATGATTGGCATTAAGGATCAGAGCCTGGACGGACCTTGCAATGATGTTTCTCACTTTCTCGCTATCTGTCATCTGGAATATCGAGATTGGCATCATTGTCAGCCTCATCATCTCTTTGCTACTTGTTATCAAGCGTTCCTCGCACACACGAATGATTATACTGGTATGTCATCACCTATAACATACTCAGGTGCTCAGACGGTGTTACAGGGACGCATTCCTGGCACTGATCAATGGGGACCCATTACTGACAATCCGGCCGCTGAAGATGTTCCTGGCATATTGATTATCCGTATCAGAGAGAGCTTAGATTTCGGTACGTTTCTATCATCTTATCGAATGCAGATGAAGCTCAATACGTGTACAAGCTAACACGGCACAGTTGAAAGAACGTCTTCGTAGACTGGAATTGTATGGCCAAGAAAGAACTCACCCTTCAGAAGAGCCAAGGAGACAAGCCGCAAGCACACTAGTATTCCACATGGCAGACGTCGAAACGTGTGATGCCTCTGCAGTGCAGATCTTCCATGAGCTGTTGGAGACGTATCAGGTAAGAGCTTACGTGACTTTGAAACAGAACCAACTTTATCTCATTCCATCAGAATCGTGGCGTCGAGCTCTTTGTAACTCACCTCCGTTCTGGTCCTCGACAAATGTTCGAACGCGCAGGTATCGTGGAGCTCCTAGGCTCCGAGGCATTCTTTGCCACCTTGGGAGATGCTATGACCAGCATTGGGCAGCAATGAAGGGTCCAAATTGCAATTTGCATGTGGTTGTTTGACGAAGACTTACGACTTTGACGACCTGATTATGACGAAGGCATCGGGCACATAGAATATGGCGGAGCTTGGGAGTAGATAGTATATACATATGTATTTAATACGCTTATGTGGCTTCTGGGTTGCGACGTTGAAACTCGAGAAGTGAAGTCAGCACCTATTATGACATCCTTCGATCGGCTTACCGTGCCGCTCACGTTCAGAAATGGCCGCTAACATTGACCGTTGTCTTATCCACGACCTCTTGGCACCTCCGTGGTGGGTAGGTCCATCAAGCATCCATGCGTCCATCATATGTCATATCAAGATCTGATGCATTTCAGAAAGAGAACGTACAATGATCACGTACGTCGCTAGCTTCCTCAGGTTAGTACCTAATAGGACTGAGATTTTATAGCTCGATCAACTATAAAATCAATCATGAAGTTCTTCTACCGAGTTTAGCGCCGTCCGTTGTCTTCTTGTTGTTTTTTTTGCTCTTACAGCCAATGCGTTCTTTCCTTTTACCAGTCCTTTCATTTACACTCGGTCTCGCCGCTTGTGCGATTGCCGACCCCACTCTCTCTCCGTGGCAGCTTCACGAACAACGTTCTCATGTACCCGCAGGATGGACCCGAACACGAAAACTGGATTCCTCTGTGTCGGTCCCCTTACGATTTGCGCTTTCCCAGTCAAACATGGAGAACCTTGAAGCACTTCTCTACGAGGTGTCACTTCCTGCTTCATCCAATTATGGCAAGCACTGGTCTCCAAGTCAGATTGCCGCCAAATTTGCCCCAAGCGCCGAATCCATAGAGACCGTGCGCTCATGGTTGATCGGAAGCGGTGTAGAGCCCCACCGCATAAAACTCTCTCCCACCAAGGGGTGGCTCGAAGTGGCTTCTACTGTCGAAGAGGCTGAAAGTCTTTTGCTTGCCGACTATCACGTATACGATCACGAATCCGGCACAAAACATATCGGTTAGTCTCGTGGTCATAGCGTTTATTGAGCTTATTTTAATTTTGGCTACAGCCTGTGACAGTTACCATCTGCCGGAGCATGTGATCCCGCACGTTGACTTTGTGACTCCTACCATACATTTTGATGCCAAGATCCCGCGGAAGCGTGAAAATCAATATACCAGAGTCCCAATTGGCCAACCTGGTCAGGGTAGCACTCCCAAGACGTCTGGTCAAATTGGAACCATCTTTGATCAACTTGAGGATTGTGATCAGCAGATCACGCCAATTTGTTTGAGGGCTCTCTATGGACTTTGGTATCAGCCAGTCGCCGGGAAGACCAACAGCTATGGAATCGGTACGTCTGCTCCCTTCGTGCGACTGTGCTAGGAACTCACCGACCACAAAGTGGAATACACCCCACAGTCCTATTTGCAGTCTGATCTTGATTTGTTCGCGAAGAATTTCTCAACCGGTCTTGAAGGTGTTTCCCCTACACTGGTCTCGATTGATGGAGGTACCGTTACAACTTATCATTCGCAGTGGGCGACTGACTAAGTTGGTCGTGTTAGGCGTCATCGAGGGTTCTGACCCTTCTTTTGATTACAATGGGGAATCCGACCTCGATCTGGAGTACGCCATGACCTTGGTAACAAAGGGACAAGACATTACTCTTTACCAAGTTGGAGATTCGGTTGAAGGTATGGAGACGACCTGTAGGTTCAACATATAACGCTGATTTCATCGATATTTAGGTGGTTCTTTCAATACCTTCCTTGATGCACTGGACGGAACATACTGCAAGTACGACGGCGGTGATGATCCCACCCAGGATCCCGTTTATCCTGACACCGCTAGTGGCGGATACACAGGTGAGTTTTTGAACTTGACCATATTCTAATCATATTCAGCTGCATGATGCAGGTAATGAGGAGTGCGGAACTGTCAAGCCTGCAAACGTCATTTCCACATCCTACGGATACAATGAGGCCGACCTCTCTCCCGCCTATGCTATTCGTCAATGCAATGAGTACGCGAAGCTTGGCCTCATGGGCGTCACTTTCCTCTTTAGTTCGGGAGACACGGGTGTTGCAGGCAACGGGGATTACTGTTTAAATTCTGACGGTAAAATTGCATATTATTCAATATCATCAAACCCTTGACTTAGTTTATTCCAGGTTCTCAATCCGCAGACGGTAAAATCTTCAATCCTGGCTTCCCTGCTTCATGCCCGTATGTCACTGCGGTCGGTGCCACCCAAGTTAGCCCTGGCCAATCTGTATGGGAGCCCGAAAATGCATGCGAGCAAGTCATTTACTCTGGCGGTGGATTCAGTAACTACTTCAGCATGCCTTTGTATCAGAAGGCAGCGGTCGAAGGGTATCTAGCAGCTGAGCCGATCTCGTACCCAAAGGATATCTACAATTCTACTGGGGTACGTTTCTTCATAGTTTAAGTTTAGTCAAGGACAAGGTCGACCATTTTTACAGTCCCGTGCATATCCCGATCTCGCTGCTAACGGAGCAAACTACGTCATTGCTGTCGACGGTAATTTCTCGCTCGTGTACGGAACGTCCGCGGCTTCGCCTGTCGTCGGTTCTATCTTGACCATGGTGAACGATGCTCGTATCTCGCGGGGTCAACCACCTCTTGGGTTCATTAACCCTGCTGTGCGTCGTGCATCACCCTTCTAATTTCAACTTGTCGCTGATATCGTTTCAAGATCTACTCCGCTGATTTCATTGGCGGCTTTAAGGATGTCACCAATGGAACGAACCCGGGATGTGGCACTCTGGGATTCAATACAACTAAAGGTTGGGATCCCGTTACTGGCCTCGGGAATCCCTACTTTCCCTCTCTGCTTTCCAAGTGGCTGTCTCTTTAAGCTTTTTCTGAGCAGAGGACTTTTCAGTTATATTCGGACCATACTCACACACTCCCTTTTTGAAATACTTACTTTTAATAAAGTATATTACGCAAGGTCGCGATCAGCACTTGAGATAACAATGAAGTTTTTGGTCTGCCTATTTAACCCTTATGTTGGACGCGACGCAGTGCTCTCTGTCTGAGATAGGCCTGTACGACTAGTTGTTCGATCCTGGTGAAGTAAGTAATAAATTCAGTGCGAGCATTGATGGAGAGGGCCAGTAAATCACCTCTGTTTCACCATCATAGCCGTCCCTTGCCTCAGTATGCCCTTGAACAACTGCGCACCCAGACCACGGTATAAGGCGAAGAATCCGCCAGTGGTATATATTCCTTGGAGCGATGACCGTATTGACGGGCCCTGTGACGAACTGTTGGTTGAATTAGATCTACGAGAAGCTTGTACGACAGTCTTTGCGAGCAGCAGCGGGTATAACATAATGACGGCTTCGTGAATCACGTATTAACATTTATTGAACAACAACAATGGAGAGGTGTGACCCACCTATGGAATTTGCAAGCGCGCCCCCTACGAAGGAATGGCCTGGGGGTGGGGAGGCGCGTTCTTTCCCCTTCAGCATTACACTTCTGTACTGCTGGAACAGATAGAGTGTGACTGCGGGATTGAGCGAGAGCACAAAATTGGACGAGAACCCTATGGTTATTGTCGTAAGTTCTGATGGACGACTGAGTGCTTCTCGAAAGCCAAACCTTTCCAGAATCCCCGTAACCCCTCTTCCCGAAGTATTTGTTTGCAAACTGCCGTGAACCGTGACGTTCCTCCTTGTGGTGAAGAATCATCGCTCACTCGAGCGGTTTGCAAGCGCACCGTAACGAGATTGAGAGGTGTCGTGATGGATCTGCTAGCAATGCCTGATAGGTAACCAATTGCAAGCTCCTGTGGGAGAGATAACATGGCTGCTTTCGATTTTCCATTTCCGCGAACAACGAGTGCTCGCAGGAAGGAATACACGTAGTAATACAGAAAGCTGATTCAATGATGATGAACAACATCTTACTAAGACGCAGAATGCAGAAGTTACTGACCTTGAAAGTAGGGTAGCACTGGTGTCTGCCCCAATGCCGTCGTATAGCGATGATAGTCCATAGGTATGTATTTGTTTGCGTATGGATGTGTCCTTCTCCGTGGCCTGTATACGGGTGGTGATGAGGTCGAGTGGGTAAGTCAGCGCATTAGCGCTCGCTGCTCCTAGTGAGCCTGATGCTGCCTGAACGAAGGGTGGCAAAACGCTTGTCATGATAACGTCCAAGGTCGAATTTGAGATGTTGGTCTGAGGTCAAGATAGAACCTCGCTAGTGCTTTCGAAGCACTAAAGCGAGTAATAGTCAGTAATCACATGGGCAGGGGCGGTGGCAGAGTGGGAACATTGTAGGTGTCCTTGCAATATTGTGTTGCTCACATATATCGCGTCATGTGACAGGCGCGGCAGAACCGCGTCAATTTCACCTGGCCCTTCCCTAAATACCACCACAAGTCCACAATGCAATCATACTCCGCGACCACCTTTCGCCACATTGGCTGATCAGATAAATGGGACCCAGTTCGTTCTTCTTTCTAACAACAACCACCTTTCCCACTTTACCACCTGTGAACCTTAACACCCAGTTGCGTTACTCGAGTCAACTTTAACTGCCATGTCCCCTGGCGAAGCACAAGCCGACCAGCCAAACTTGTCATGTACTCCGCCACGCGCTAATCAATCATCTCATGTTTCTAACCTCAAATCCACCCCACTCAGCCGTGGGGCTTCCGCTGCCAGTGACCACATTGGCCTGATCGGCGCCAAGTGAGTTTTTTCCTGTCATGTTTGATTGCCACCTGAAGTCCATGCAAGGATCAATCAAATCCGCCCATGGATTGAGCGGGACATCGAGAAAACTAAGACATGCAATGTCGACGTGATGCTAGGAGATCTCCTGCAGCGTGCTTCTAACGATCCAGAGACTCCACAGCCCGATCTACTGGACAAGTGTCTCGACGCCGTTCTAAAGGTTTGCAATGGGAAATTTTCCACTAAGGAAAAAAAGCCCGGCCAGATATTTCGTTCTTCTGACATCGCGCAAAGTCTTAGGGATTAGTGAGTGCTCTTTCACTGTTTGGGGGAATGTCGCACTCATAATGATCGCAAGCTCGTTGCCGATGATTGAAACCAAGTCCTACGCGCCTTTCATCAAGGCGACGAGTACCGCGCTTGCCTGTCTTGAAGAGATCCTCGTTGAGGGAATGCGTGCTGCTTCGAGCGACCTGGAAATGATCTGTCAGCACAATGATATGCCTATATACCAAAAGCACCAGACTGAGAAATCGAAACGGATACCTGACGTCTTCATCCTTCCTTCGAAAAGCTCGAAGGAGGCGTCCCCAGATGCAGCAAACCCACCCTGGGACCACAGGGTCCAGAATGCAGCAAAAAAACCGAAAGGGGGGCGAATCTTTTGGAAAGATGTGCTCGCTTCGATCGAATTCAAGAGAACCTCAAATTTTGGGCTGGAGGGGCCCTCGGCTTCGTATAAATTGGAAAAATATACACCTACCGATCCGGAATATCGGAAGGTGCCCGTGCGGGAGGCGTCTGCCGGCTCCGCAACTGCAGTGTCAGTTCTGCAGATCAAAGCCGAGCAACCTGCACCCGACCTTCCACGTAAGCCATGCATTAGCTATTCGGGGCTCAAACTAAATCAGCACAGCCCCGCGCCGTTCGAACTGTGACGATGTAGTTAAGAATACTAACGGGAGCTCCAAGCGCAAGGCTGAGGATGATGAGGAATCCGCGGCCAAGCGAGCCAAGACCACCAACACGGACGCGGACCGCCCGCTAGATGTGACTGTCCAGACAGCACTCTACGCTGCTGAAATGTTTGCAGCAAATATTGCAGTCACTCACCTCCTCAATCTGATCATCGTCGGTGTGTTTTGTTTCGTTCGTTCAATGCTTGCGTTCTTACGTTTGCTTCTGTAGATAACATCGTCTGGATCTGGTATTATGATCGGCAGGGGATTATTCAAAGCTCGGGCATCAACTTCATGAAGGATCTCCCCCGATTCATGGTGTTGTTATACGCGTTACAACGCTTCAACCTTGGCGACTGGGGTCGGAACACACAATTCGAGGAAGTTGTGGAGGAGGGCGTGCACAAAACCTCACTGAATGGCGTGGTTGTGAAGGATGGCGTGCACAAAGCCGACCTTGGTGGCGTGGATCTCGTGATTCATACCAACTCCAAAGAGAGAGTGACTCACTACGGGTTACAAGGACGCGCAACCAACGTGATCCCTGTCACTAGTGAAAAGCTCTCCGCAGAATTTCCAGATATCAAGAAAGATAGGATGGTGGCCAAAATCTTTTGGGCAGAAGAGGACCGCATTAGCGAGCCGGAAATCTTGAAAAAGGTTCACAAGATTGCCGCAAAGGAATCGGACGTCGAGGGCCATGTTCCTCAGCTGCTTTGGTACTGCAGGTTCCCCAATCCGACCCGCGCAGTACGAGAAGCGCTTGGGATTCCAGAAGCAAAGAAGGGCAGCCGCGTGCTCTACATTCTCGTGTTCCGCAAGCTCGACCCCATCACGGCGCTCTATGGCATAGAATTGTTCGATGTTTGGCGGCAATGTATCTTATGTATGTGGCTCGTCGCATTTTATAAGACCCTCCGCTGAAATAGCGTGTTCAGGCCACATTGCTCTCTGGAAGGGAGGGGTCTATCATTTGGATGTCAGCCCTGGCAACCTGATGTGCTACAAAAAAGACAGACGCTGGATCGGGGTCTTAAATGACTACGATCTATCGTCGTTGAAGATTAACGCGGGTCCTATGGGCAATGAGCGCACGGGCACAGTGCCGTTCATGGCGCTTGATCTCCTCACCCCTGAAGGTCAACGAGGTGAAGTCGCACACTTGTATCGTCATGATCTGGAGTCATTCGTGTGGGTTCTCGTGTGGGTTTGTCTTCGCTACGAGAATGGAGTTCTACTGGCCGCGTCATCTCGCCTCCTCGATGAATGGGCAACTGTAGACCCTGTAACATGTGGCGAGAAAAAGAGAACGTTTCTGGATCGTTTTGTGCATTTCGAGCGGGACTGGATGGATCCCCAGATTTGGAGGTTGGTGGAGGACTCTTTGGAAGTGCTCGAAGACGATAAACATCGTCAAGTGAAGAACAAAATTGCCCAGGCACGTAAAGCAAGGAGGGGCATACGCACGGACGCCGAGGAAGAGAAAGAAGAGAAAAAGACAGGCGAATATGATTTATTCCACGCGCTCACGGCTACCGAGACCTGGGAGAGGACCTTGAAGACGCTGTGCGCTTACCTTCCTGAATCATAACCGTTGTTCAGTAGTTTTGACCAATACAATCACGCAGTGACCAGTCTTGGCATGATCATTGACGTCTGATACTCCCTACTATTCATGGAAGGCACGAAATGGAATTAGAATGGGTTACTTGGTGATTGTTAGTTTAGTTAGTTCTCCTCTCTCTGCTTGACGTCTTGCTCGTTATGTAAGCAGTACTTTCGTAACTTCCTCGCTCTTCCTCACAGCCACCCAAAGACCGTCACACTTGCAACTCAACAGCATTTGCTAGAGGACAGCCCCGGCAGATTTGAAAATTCTCTCTCGATGTCGACGCTGACACTATCAATTCACTTAGCTTCCAGTTACACTACGGCGATTCCCTCGGTACGGGGTCGCAGCCGCACAACGTTGCCAGACAATAGATCCTCGGCATGTCAAATGAAGACGAAGTAAAAGCGGCGCTTCTCACTCAACCTATACTAGCCGCTCTGGAAGAAGTTTAAATGTTCAATATGGACATAATTGTCTTTGATCCGACTACTCTGAAAGGGTGCTATACATATATAGCACTCAAAGTGTGCACGGCTGACCCGCAGCACGTAATGATATTAACTTCTTACAGCCACGCGGAGGTTAGGAATGCTTCCTGCCTCAGAGTCGCCACTGCCTCTGCATCTGATTCACGATCAGCCCGCCACGCTCTCACTTCTACTGCTCTCGCTATCTCCTGCAAGGCAGTCGCACAGCCTTGGTGTGCGGGAGGAAATGCACTGAGCAGGGCACGATGAGTGAGAATCGTCTCCAGGTATTCGCCTCCCGTGGTCCGGAATTGTGATGACGTGGGGTAGGGGTAAGGGAATGGAGAGAGCACGTGGGATTCGGGGGCGAGTGAAGCGAGGATGGATTGGAGGAAGTGGCATGCGGGAAGTGGAGAGCGGGGAACTATGATAGAGGAGGTGGGTAGATGGTTGGTGCTGTTTGTGGTTGTGGCTGTGGTTGTGATTGGGAGGTCGCAGGAGCTGGACTTTGAACTTGATGATTCCGCGTCGGACTAGATGAGTCGTAAGTTTAATGGTGAGAATTGCAAAGATTTGAGTTGCACTCACATGGTACGCTGGATCCTCTGTGTTTGCAGCGTCCTCGCCTGCCCTTTGCAAGGCATAGGGGACAGCAGGGTGTGTTGGATCGTTTTCGGGAGCCTTTCTCCATTACGGAGTCAAACTTATGTGTGATGGGCAGGGGATCATGCTTACCTTGGTCTTGCCTTTCGACAAGGTCAGTGTTTGTAGAAGCTCACAGAGATCAAACTCGGCGCCGTATACCTATAATATAATGAGCGTCAGAACTTGCTTGAGAACTGATTCGGCGTCAATGTTATCTCACTGGAATTCCGTGGCTATGCAATTCATCGTAGTCCGTCACGATCACCGGACCGACTGGAGAGTCCATGTCGATGTCCATCATAATCTAGCAGTTATACAATAAACACGAGCGTAGATGCAGGGAGTGCACGAAGAAATCGGTGCTGGGTGTAGGGAACAGATGAGCTGAATCGCTCGTGTAGTTGCCGATAGCTATATGTAGCCGTTCTCCGAGGGCATGCGGAACCGGCTACCCTGCCTCGTGTATCAGGGAAGGATCAGAAGGACTTCCGTTATTGGTTAGCTTTCTAAATGTGGGGACACAACGCGGTACAGGGCAAGAGATCTAAGCCAGAACCCTCATAGCCACTGGCGAAGATGCAAGCGAGAGTTGCGTCTAAGAGTAACCGAGGCGCACTGTGCTGGCCATGAGATGTCTGACAGGGCGCAAGACAAATTACAGGCAATGCAATAAATTGATTTGGTGCGTAATCGTACACATCTATAGCCAGCTGAAATTCTGCAGATGCCAAAACAGGTAGACAGTGCCGAAGAGGATGCCAGGTACACTCTGAATCACTGCTATATCCGCACCACTGCCAGATATTTCCGTACGTATGCTGGGATGATAGGCACGTTGCGCTGGCAGAGATTATCATGGTCCGGACCTATGGTCACCGGTAAACGTTCGTCAGCATTCCGTCAAGACAGTGCATGTAGTAAAAATGAACATGATTCAGAGAGAAGATTATCAAT